GGGGGGGGGGGGGGGATCAGGACGTACTTGAAGCTGCGACCGACTTCTCGGAAGCCGTACTTGTTTTTGGCGGTGTTCAGTGCTACGTGTGCGTCCTGCTTGCTACGCAGGATTCGATCCCAGATTACAACTTCGTTCGAAACCTGTCACGTTGGAAGATCATCATTGTCAGCATCTTGTCCCATCTCGTCCTAAAACGCCTCTCTTCAACGAGAACGTACATGTTTGGTGGAATCATAACTCGCGCTCAGACTGACGAACACCTGCTTGGTGTTCCAATCAAAGAGCGGTGCGAAGTCGGCATCGATGTCGAAGTCCACCTCTACAAACTCTTGAATGTTGCGATCCATGTGCCATGCCGCTTTGGCGCGAACCACCTCGAGTTGGTTGATGACGACTTTGCCGGTGGGCTTATGCGAGGTGATGCGGGTCACGTCGATGAGTACGACGAGCGCCAATATGATGGTGGTTGCGAGTGCAGAGACTGCATTGAGGCGAGAAAGCGTGCTGTGCATGGCTTGAATGTGCGATGGGAGAAAGAGGAAGGGAAGACGGGCGATGGTGGAAGAAGGGATGGCGTTGTGGGGATGAGAAAAGCTGCCACGTCCTTCGAGCTGTGACCAACGCATTGTGTTGGACCCTGGATCACATCGGTGATCTGCTCTGCAGTGGCTGTCCTCCAATCTCAGATTATCGCATCAGAATGGTCTAACATGAACAACATGAAGCTGCCCAATTCGATTATCCCGAACCAACTGAATATGCCTCTTCGAACCGCACATACTCTATCGGCTTCGGCTTCCGACGATCCGAGCAGCAGAAAGCGTCACCTCGGCAAGCGATCGATCTGATCACATGCACCAGCTTCGACAATGGTGACAACAAGCCTCGCTTAAGCCAGCCACGCAAACACACATGCAAGAGAGTTTTATTCTGAAACACTCGACCTACATAAAGTGATTCGGCTATGCTGGTAGCGTGCCACTTTTTCTGCATACAGTATAGAAAGAACGGCACGTTGCTCTTGGCAGGAGAGGGGTGGAAGCATGTGCAAGAGTGTAGCGCAAGAATGTGCTTATCGGTCACGAGTCGGTTGTTTGCAGCAGCCGCGGCCGCGAGCCGCAACCCAGTTGTGCGTAAGTCAAAGATCCTTGCAACGGTATTCGTATCGTTTGAGCATCGCTCACTATCTGAGGCCGTCGATCGCTCGATTCAATAGGCGCACAATGGCCATGGTCTCAGATCGTTGGTCGCGCCCATCAGCGATACAGTTCGCCGGTACAACAGAGTCCGAATGGTGTTTCAAGCCGCGCTCTGCACCCTCACTCGAACAGGCGGCACGCAGCAATAACGTCATGGTGCTTACTTTTTTTTTTCTGATCCTCGGTCATCTGCAACCCGCGACGGACAAGTTTCGGTCTATTATGGCGCCGGCCGCTCTCTCTTTCGCCTTTGATCGAGACCTTCGGCCCAGCTCGTAACGCTGAACAGAGGCCATGCGCTTGAGATTTCATCCAATGTGGTGTCTCTATCCGAGTCACAGCCGAATCAGATTGTGGCTGCCGCTGCCCTTTTTTGGCTTGTCGGACAAGCGAGGCTGTGACCTCAACGCTTTGCTTCGGTTGGATTCATGCGTGCGTGCAGCCACTGTACCCTCTTGGGCCCTGCCGCTTAGCAGTGAGCGTGCTTCCGTTTCACAGCGTCGCATGGACCGTCGACTGCTGGAGTATATGCCCGTAGGTGGAGCTGCTTTGACCGTTGGCAAGACGTTTGCCAGCCGCTGTTGAGGAAAGAGCCTGCGGGGATACTTCGCCCTTCTCCGAGCATGATCAATCACGATCGCTGCAGAAATTGTCAGTAGTGGAGCCGATGATGTACCACAAAAAACTGCGAAAAGAAACAATTCGAACGAGAAAATCAGAGACAAAGAAAAGAAACGTCGCAGATTGAAATCCAACGAGGACGTTGAGATAGGGCGACTCCGACAAAGGCGGCGGGCGGATTACGCCGTTCCACCACCATCGTCTCAGCTGCTCTGCCTTTGTGTTGACTTTCAGCCTCGAGACTAGCTACCTTCTGCATTGTGCATGGTGCATTGTGCGGCTGGTAAGTGTCTTGCCGATCGACCTAAGCGAGGCAGATTACAGCTGCTCTTAGGTTTGCATCACGCAGCCGACATACGCTTTTTGAGGGTACACCAAGATCTCCGCTTGCCCCGCGCAACAGCGCACTCGCTGCCCGCCAAAAGATCCATTCCTTGCTCTGTCATCCGCTTCTCTGCTGCTCGGCAGCTTCAATCCCCATTGTCCCAAGTCAACGCCTCATCGCCTTTGACCTGTTGACCAGCGTTCATTCGGCACCCATCTCGTCTCCTCTTAACCACCACCGTCGCACCATTCTGCCCGACACATCCTCACCCTCGCCCCCGACAACCTAGATTCCGCGGCCGATTCAGCTTCATACACGATCAGCTGTCATTGTCGCCGTCGCCAGTCGTCCGACTCGGATCCTTTCTTCACCAGCATACGAACAACTATCTCGACTTTCCACCATCATCGATCGCACCATGACGTCTGCACCATCGGTCCATCAGCAACGTGGCGAGGACAGCCTCGATGTGCTTCCTGCCGAGTTGCAGGACACCATCATGGAGAAGAAGTTTGCTCAGATCAAGCAGCAGCGACAGGACGCGCGCAACGTGCTGCGAGAAGCCAAACAGAGGACGCGCAACCGGCAGACCGACCAGCAGATCTTGCTGCTCATGCAGGCCGACGAACGACTTGCTGCGCTGCTCGCTCAAGCTGCCGACTCGATGCGCGCGCTCTTGCCCCCCGTCGCGGCTACCGAAGCCGATGCAGCGGCAGTTGCGACCGATACTTCAGCTCAACACGGGGCAAAGGCCTTCGAAGACAAAGCACAGCAGTGGTTCTCGATCCTCAACGAGGTGCAGTACTCTCTGCGCAGCGCAGTGAGGTACCTTCGCCAGGCACAGCTGTCGCCGCTCACACCACCCGTTGGACCCGACGCCCGTTCGCTCGGCAGAGCAGGCTCAGCCGGCCGCGGGCACAACCTCTCGCTGCTCGAAGTGTTCTCCGACATCGGCGGTCTGCACGGCGGCACAACGTTTAAGCTTCCTCCTCTCGATCATTCGGCATCGTCCTCGTCCGGAGCCTCGTCGCGATCCTCGTCCTTCTCGACGGTGCTGCCCGAATCCAGTCTGAGCTTGCAGGCTCTGCGCGAAAGGGAGAGCAACTGGAAAGCTCTGTCCGGCTCGCTGCAGCAGATCCATCAATCTATGACCGACGCAAGTGTCGACGGAACCTCGAAACTTTCGCCCGAACTCAGTTTGCTCGAAAGCATCCGCAACGGCTGCAGCTCGGATAGGATCCTCATCGACGCTCTCGTCAACACCAACCACATGGCTTGAGCCAACGACAACAAGCATTCACCATCCACCGTCGTCCCCTCCCAGTTCCTTTGCATTTTGTACTTTTACTGCCGAATCTCGTCTCATACCCCCATCTGTTGCGCGGTGGATGGTGCTCGATGATGTCTGTGGAGAAAAGGTCTAACGACTGAGTGTGCGACCGAGATTGAAATTTCGGTAAAGGATGTGAGATCGAAGAAGAATCTCTGTCCAAAGAATGAGGTCGCAGCTTTTGGTCGGCCGTATGTGATTGAATGCGAGAGTGTGTTTTGGATGATGCGTCAGTGCGCAGTATGTGAGTGTCGCATGCGCCCAAACCAACAACCAACACCGAAACGCTTTCATTCCTTCCTGCCTCTCTCTCTCTCTTCTCCTCCACGACAACGCAGCTGTTTTGTGCTGCCGGTCTCTACCTCTTCATACAATCTCTGTCTCCCTTTCCGCCTCGCAACCATGTCGCGCGTAACGCAGTCAAGACAGCAGACGGAAGCCAACGCCAAACTGCTCCGTTCGCTCGCCAAGTCGGCCGACAACAAGGTCTGCGTAGACTGCAAGAAGAACGATCCAAGATGGGCTAGTTGGAACCTAGGCTGTTTCCTGTGCATTCGATGCTCCGGTATCCATCGTTCCATGGGTACTCACATCTCCAAAGGTGAGTTTCCTCCTCAAACCTCCTCCTCATCCTTGTTTTTGACGACCAAGATATACTGACATTCTTTCTCTTTTGCCAACTCTGGGCAACAGTCAAGAGCATCGACTTGGACATTTGGACACCCGAACAGATGGATTCTGTCCAAAAATGGGGGAATCGTAGGTGCAACCTGTACTGGGAAGCTCATCTGAAAGCTGGTCACGTACCTGCGGATCACAAGATTGAATCGTTCATCAGGAGCAAGTACGAGTCCAGGAGGTGGGCAAAGGACGGTCCTCCGCCGAGCGATCCTAGTGTTTTGGATGGCGGTGCCGAGGCGCCTGCTGCGACTGCGAGTGGCTCAACCGGAGCAGCGACGGCTAAGGCGACACCGAGTGTAGCGGCCAAGAAGGCTGCACCGGCGATCGATCTGCTCGACGATGCATCGCCTGCACCAGCACCAGCACCAGCAGCGTCAGCGACCAAGCAACCTCCCGCACCAGCAACAACCGCAGCACCACCCAAGACAACTCCAGCTGGCGGAGGAGGAGGAGGCGGGGGAATCTTCGATCTCGACTGGCACGAACCTTCCCCTTCCAGCACCACCACCACCACCTCCAAGGGCAAAAACGACATCATGTCCCTCTTCGCCTCCTCCAAACCCACCCCCGCTCCCGCCCCCAGCACGGCCAACGACACCTTTGGCGACTTCTCATCCTTCACCTCCCCCACCTCCACCACCGCTGCTGCTGCTGCCGCCACCTCCAACCTCACCTCCTCCTTCGGCGGACTGGATCTCTCCGCAGCACCTAAATCCACTGCCCCCGCCTTCGGCGCAAGCAGCAACCCCTGGTCCACCGGCACAAATCCCCCAGCCCCGTCCAACACTGCAGGGGGCCTGTTCGACACGCACGACGTCTGGGGCTCATCCGGTGCTAACACCACATCCAGCAAGCCGAAGGACGACGCTTTTGCCGATATTTGGGGTGACTTCAAGTAGGCTCCTCAGCCGGGCACGATCTTTTGTACACACGCATGTATGAGGCAAATAGCAAAAGATGCTTTCGAGAACGCTTGCGAATCCAATGTGCGTCGTATTCTCACCCCTGTGACCCTCCGGGCTCACACCCGCATCCCATCCCGCATTCAATCTCCCGCTCACACACCGCACGTAGTCACAAATGCTATTTTCACGTGCGCTCAACACTCCTCGTCGAACCGCGATCCGTACTCGACTCGCCCATCACCTCCTTGCTCAACCTCGACCTCCTCCTCCCATCCTCCTCCACCTCCTCATCCTCCTCATCCCCCACAACAGCGCTATTGCCCTCGAGACCAAAGATCACATCGTCCCTCCTCCTGGCCAACAGACTCGCTTCTTCCACCAACATGCTTCGGTATTTGTCATCAATGCGAGACGCCGCTCCGTTCTTGCTTCCCCTTCGAATCGTCGCACCGCCGCTATTGCTCGGGAATCCTGAACGTGCAGCGTTGTCGGCAACCAGGTTGGTCTCGCTCTCGGCCCGATTTTGAGCAGCGAGATGCACGTTGCGAGGCAGTGGACCAGAGTTGCGAGTAGTCTCGCTGTCGCTGTGGGCACGCGCATCGCGATCATCGTCCGCACGGAGATGCGCAATTTGAGGAGGCGCCAGGCTGTGGGTATTAGACCTGAAAGAAGCAGAGCGAGCGCTCTCAGAATCCAGTCGAGTCGATCCATCTCGTCCGTCGCCGTGCGCTTGCGAGGAAGACTTGGGAGGCAAAGCGTTCGAGGAGCCCATTCGATGCTTCTTCGGAATCACCATGATGGGCCCATCGTCGTCTTCATCCTGATTCTCGTCCTCGTCGTCTGCATCCTCCTGCACAGCTTGATTTGCGGCCGCTGCAACCTCAACCTCCTCGCTGTTGCTGCCGCCACTTTGCACGTTGTTGTGGCTTGCAAGCGAGCTCTGCTCCCGACTTGGTGCAATTGAAGCGTGTGCGGTGCCCATGCTCGCTGTCTGCCCAATCAACGGCGACCCACCCCTACTACCCCTGAAATTTTCCATGACCTTTTGCCTCGCCTCTGCCTCGCCCTTCTCCCTCTCTTCGTCGAGCTTGTCCCTGTGCTCTTCAAAGACCAGAGACATCCAGGTGCCCAGGAAGCCGATCACCTGCTTGGCTTCTGGCATCAATGCAGACATTTGCAAAAAGCCATGACTCCAGCCTTCGATGATCCTCATCTGCACCCAGTCGTCGGGCGACTCTTGCTCGATCGGATCGACGGGCAACTTGGCTTGATTGTTCGACGAGATGGGCGTGGTTCGCAAACCTTCACCGAATCGAGCTGATGCCATGGCCTTGCGTCGTTCGATGTCCGCCTTTTTGGCAAGCTTCGCTTCGCGGATGCGGCCGGCCATGATGACGGTGTCATCGCACAGAGGGTCCTTCTCGCCGCAGATGAACAAGACAGGCGGGAACTCGGCCAAAAGATGCGCTGGCGCCACAACAGGAGAAAGGTAGTAGTCGTGGTCCAGGTCGGGCTGTCGTTTGGGACCGATGTAGAGGATGGCCATGGCACGCAGCATGCCCTGCGTCATGATCCTGTCCTGGAAGTAGCCAGCCATGGAAGTGACGGTGAGGCGAGTGTTGAAGGGCGCGCGCCTCTGATCCTTGTTCCTGCTATCCGCTGCTTCGGCTGCCTCCTGCAATGCCTTTTGCTCCCTTTCGAAACGCGCCTGCGCTCGCTTCTCTTCACGGTCGGCGATCTCATCCAGCATGGCTTGTCGAGCCACCTGGGCCCATGGCAGACCGCCCTTCTCCCATGAGGGAGTCCAGGCGCCTTCAGCCCACATTCCTTCTGGAGCCGAGTCCGAAGGGGTGGATGCGCCGTTCTCGTCCGAGGTGGGATCGACTTCTGCGTAGCGAGCGCGTTCGTCGAGATGGAGCTCGGCGGTGCGAGTCAAAGACTGATATGAACGAGGATCCTTGGTTCGCTCTTTGCTCCTGGCACGTTTCGCCTCGGCACGTTTGCGGTCCGAGGCGCTGGCTGTTGTTGCCAAGTTGGCAGCTGAGCGTCGCCTGGCAGAGCGAAGGGATGTGGAAGAGGCAGACGCGGCGACAGTAGACTGATGCTGAGCGAGATTGTCGAGATTGACCTCGCTCTGTTGGCGCAAAAGGCGTAGGTGCTCTGGCTTCATCCAGCTCGAGAAACCAAAGTTGAGACTCGGGTAGGTGAGCACCATACCGATGGGTTTGGGCAGCGGTGGAGGTCGTTGTGCCGGGCCGCAGCTGCGGGAGGTGAGCGACGAGTAAGCTAGCTGAATGCGAGGCTGCGGGTACTGGATGATTTTGAGCACGACGCCAGTGGCGAGGTTGCCACCGGCACTGTCACCGGTGAGGATGATGCGGAAGTTGGGTGAGCCGGACATGCCGATGACCTTGCCGGCCGTCTCGTGGAGTGTACGATAGAGATCGAAGCATTCCTCGAGTGCGAACGGATACGGATACTCGGGTGCCTTGCAGTAGTCGACGCAGAGGACGGGCTTCTGCATCTGCTTGGCGAGTTGACGCAGACGCTCTTCGTGATGCTGCGGATTCATACAGATGTAGCCACCGCCGCAAAAGTCGAGGACGAGCTCTTCCTCCATGCGGAGCTGCCTTTCGCTCTTGGCGTAGAAGAGCCACGCCTTGCTAGGTCGTGTGTGATGTGCTGCCACCTGCGGCCGGGGTATCAGGAGAGGACGTGCGATGGGCAGAGACGGACGGTGGAACCATGTGGCGGCGCGAATGTAGGGATTAGTGGTCTTTTCCCAAGTGTAGCGCATCATGTCGACGGTGCAGAAGGCCCTGTACTTCCGAAGCTTCTCGTCGGCTTCGTTCGCGTAGACGAGGTAGTACGCGGAGAAGACGAGGCTCATGATGTCTCTGAGCCACTTGGGTTTGATGTTGATTGCAGAGGCAAAACCAGCGTCTAGGGCGGTGACGATCCAGGTTGTGCGGTAAAAGTTGCGCGAGTACATGCGAGCGAGCGGCTCTGGAGCGCCGAAGCCGAGGAGCGAGTCGAGGTGCCTGATGGTGTAGATGCCGACGGAGCTGAAGACGACAATCTGCCAGGGCGAGAAGCGCTTGAGCTTGGCATTGATCTTGCGTATGAGGGGACTTGGACCATCTCGGTTGCCTGTGACAAGGAACCAGAGCCAAAAGAGGATGACGGAGAAGATCTGGACCCTCTTGAGCTTGGTCGAAGGTCGACCGAGCAGATGGTCGATCATGATGGCTCGCTAGCGGGCTGGCAGATGCTCCAGTTCGGTGCAGACGGCCAAGCGAGAAAGAGAGAGACAGACACAGGGCAGCACCGCCTGCGATCACTGCGAGCCGGATCCAGTGTTGCGATGCGATGCCGAGGGCGAAGGAGGTTCAACTTCTGCTCATGGAGTGTCGTTTCAAGGGCAGTTCGATATCGTCAAGAGGAAAAGGATGAACGATGAAGAGGCGACGCTGCTGCTGTGGGTGCTGCTGTTTGTGCTTTGAATATGACGAGCACTGCCAGTGATTGGCTTGTCTTGTCAAAGTTGGCCGCCCTTGAGTTGTGACAATGAGCGTGAGTCAATTGTGTGAATGAGCAACGGGATCCTAGCAACGGGCACCGCTGTTGGATGTGATCGATGTGGACTACCTTCGTGGCTATGGGACTATCGCAGTGACTGTCTGCACTGAAGGTGGGAAGGTAATCAATCGCCTAACGCAACGTGAAAGGCACACTGACACATTTCGAGAGATTCAGGGTTCGGCAAAAGAGTGCACACTGCCTCGACCCGTGAAAAGCGCCCATGCATAGATTGCATGCTGCACGTCGGACCTGGCCGAAAGTGACACATGCGCAATCACCCTGTCACCTCGGCGGCCAAAATCAGGCCCATGATCTAGCAACGTGACTGTATATTATGCATTAGAGGACTCTTTCAAGGCAGCACGCGTTCATGGTGAAGTGGTTATCATATCTCTTTCCCATTTTGTGTCATATGAGGATGATGCGGTGCAAAGAGGAGGCCGCGGGTTCGAACCCCGCTGGACGCACCCTTTTCTTTTTGCTGTTTCATCCATGATAGCTGTTGCCCAGCTCGAAGCTTTGCTCGCTTTGGTGGGTCACACTGATGACTACTAGCGGGCAAGATGGACGAATCATGCGACATGCGCAAGCGCTCGATGACAAGCATATCGAATGTCCTTGTCAGGCGCATTTTGAAGTTACGCGTCACATCGCCCCGGGAATTCCGCGCAGAGGCTGCTGACGAGGCCCGAGGTGGTCACCGTGCCTGGATTCGGACTCCTCTTCCCTCCTCTTCTCTTCTCTCGTACAGCCAGCGTTGAACGTGGCCGTGAATCCCGAGGAGAGCATCCTCCTTGGCTAGTCAGAAGACCCGACCCCGCCATCCTGCACCTGCCACCATGCCCGCCGCGATATCCACCAGGGATTCCACTTAAGCCAAGCCAGGTCAAGCCGCACAGTGGCCAACTCACTTTGACGAAAAGACATCGTGCGACGATGGTAGCGGCATCCAGAGCTGAAGATGTCGGGTGCGCGACTCAGCGGCGGCGACCTCGAGCAGCTAGACGGGCGGACGGGATACAGTAACCGCTTCGACGTCCGGCACGCTTTCAGCGACGTGGCGAAAAGCTCAACCAGCTTAGCCAAGACAAATCACAAATTCCGGTGCGAGTCGCGCTCCGCTGCATTCTTTGATTTGCCCCACGTCGACGCTGGCTGCCAGGCTATTTCCCAGCGCTTTTCTTCCAGAAACACACCCACATACACACATACACACACGCTACACACGCTCGCTTCCTGCTGCTCGGTGTGGCCACTTTCAGCCAATCCTTTTTTTGTTCGGCGCATCTTGTCGCTTAATCCGAGATTCCACGTCGGGCGGCAACATTTGTTGTTGTGGGCTGTTCGTTCTGTTCTCACCATCTCTCCTCCACCATCACCGCTTTTCCATTACACCCACAACCTTGCTATCTTCACCGCTTGGTCGAAGCCTCACATCCCGGTCCAAGCTCACCCTTCAACCCGAGTGCGCTTCTTCGGTCACCATGGCGTCGCAACTCGACTTGATCGTTCTCGGTCTCGGCGGCTTGCTTGCCGCCCTCTACCTCTTCCGTGACACGCTCTTTGGCGGTGCCAAGGATACCGGATCAAAGCTCGCCAACGGTGGACCTATCACTGCCAGTGAGGAAGGCGGCGCCGACTTCATCTCTAAACTCACATCCCAGAACAAGCGCATCGCCATCTTCTACGGCTCCCAGACAGGTACCGCCGAAGAGTATGCCACAAAGCTCGCCAAAGAGGCCAAAGCCCGTTTCGGCACCTCTTCTCTCGTCCTCGATCCCGAAGAGTACGAGTTCGAAAAGCTCGACCAGATGCCCGAAGACACTGTCGCCGTCTTTGTCATGGCCACCTACGGTGAAGGTGAGCCCACCGACAACGCCGTCGGCCTCATGGAGTTCATCGAAAACGAGACGCCCGAGTTCTCTAACGGCAGCGAGCGCCTCGAGAACCTCAACTACGTCATCTTTGGCCTTGGAAACCGAACCTACGAACACTTCAACGCCGTCGCCCGCAAGCTCGATGCCCGTCTTCAGTCCCTGGGAGCCAAGCGCATCGGCGAGCGAGGCGAAGGCGACGACGACAAGAGCATGGAGGAAGACTACTTGGCCTGGAAGGACTCCATGTTTGAGGCGCTCGCCACCTCGCTCAACTTTGAAGAGGGCGGCGGAGGCGATGTGGCCGATTTCAAGGTCACCGAGCTCGCCAACCACCCCGAAGACAAGGTCTACCACGGCGAGCTCTCGGCGCGTGCCCTCCTCGGCACCAAGGGCATCCACGATGCAAAGAACCCCTACAACGCTGTCGTCACCCAAGCTCGCGAGCTCTTTGTAGAAGGCACCGCCGATCGTACCTGCGTTCACGTCGAATTCGACATCGAAGGCTCCGGCATCTCGTACCAGCACGGCGACCACGTTGCTGTCTGGGCTCACAACCCCGAGCAGGAGGTCGGCCGTGTCCTCGCTGTCTTTGGCCTCCTCGACAAGCGCACCACTGTGATTGATGTCGAGTCGCTCGACCCCACCCTCGCAAAGGTTCCCTTCCCTGTCCCCACCACCTACGAAGCCGTCTTCCGACACTACATCGATATCACCAGCCACGCCTCCCGACAGACGCTCAACAGTTTCGCCAAGTTTGCGCCCTCGCCCGAGATCCAGGCCAAGCTCGAAAAGATCTGCGCCAACAAGGACATCTTCCAGGCAGAGATCGGCAGCCGATTGCTCAAGACCGCCGAAGCCTTGCAGTGGATCGCAGGCGACGACCTGCAGGCCGACGTCAGCTCCATCAAGCCGTGGAACGTCCCCTTCGACCGAGTCATCTCGGATCTTCCGCGCGTCGGTCCTCGCTTCTACTCGATCTCGTCCAGCCCCAAGATGCACCCCAAGTCGGTGCACATCACGGCTGTCGTCCTCCGCTACCAGGCCAACAAGTCGGGCCCTTGGGTGCACGGCCTGGCCACCAACTTTATCAGCACCATCAAGATGGCCAAGAATGGCGAGCAGCCTGGCGGCCCTACCGACCCGCGCTTTGGTACACCAAAGTATCTGCTAGACGGCCCTCGAGGCGCCTACACCAAGGAGGGCGCGTTCCGTGCTCCCATCCACATCCGACGCTCCAACTTCCGCCTGCCAACTTCGCCCAAGATTCCCGTCATCATGGTCGGACCCGGAACCGGTGTTGCCCCCTTCCGCTCATTCGTGCAGGATCGTGTCTGCAGCGCCGAAAAGGCGCTCGAGAAAGCCAACGGCAAGACCGCCGAGGAGGCACTCAAGGACTGGGGCAATATCTGGCTCTTCTACGGATGCAGAAAGGCCGACGAGGACTTCCTCTACCGCGACGAATGGCCACAGTACGCCCAGAAGCTCGGCGGCAAGTTCCTCATGGAGACGTCGCTTTCCCGTGAAAAGTTCAAGCCTGACGGATCCAAGCTGTATGTGCAGGACTTGATCTGGGAGCGACGCAAGCAGATCGCCGAAGACATTCTCGAGCGAAAGGCTTATATCTACATTTGCGGTGAGGCCAAGGGCATGGCGCAGGACGTCGAGGGCATCTTTGCTAAGATCTTAGAAGATGCCAAGGGCTCGGCAGAGGAGGCCAAGAAGGAGATGAAGCTGCTTAAGGAGCGATCCAGGTTGCTTCTGGATGTATGGTCTTGAGAGGCCGAGACCGACGCGACTCGGAATTCGTACGCTGCTAGCCAACGATCCTCTGAATGCACTCCTTCTCATTGTGCACACGTTTGATGTCGCCTCTACGTGATGGAATTGTGGTCACCTGTAAATAAGCAATAGACATTACGGCTGCCTGTGCCTTGTTTCATTCCTCTTCGCATGTTTGCCCAGGCTGATACAGTGCAAGCTGGCCAGAATCTCGAGCGAAAAGGGCCACACGGAAATATTTTAAAGATGTAAGACCGAAGGTGATACGGCACTGGAAGATTGCAAATTTGATGCCGCACGGGAGAGTTGCCTCACGTGCTGGTCCGAGTGTGGAATTCCATCATCGACACTGGCTGATGCGAAGAGTCTCACAGTCGCTGCGATCTACAGCCTGCCTGCTTTGTGCACCCAAGCCTTTTTGATATCCATCACCGCAAGCTCCATCAACCCCATCCATCGTCACAGTCGTCGAATCGACCAAAGGACTGAGACAACATGTCGCTCCGAGCTTCCCGCACACTCTTCAACGAGGCCAAGAACTACGCTTCGTCCCACAGCTTCACCTACGTCGAGGGCAAAACCCCCTTCTGGCGAAAGTTCCGTCAGATCTTCTCGGCCAACCCAGAGATCTCATCCGGTATCCCTAGCATCGAGTCGAACCGATGGCCGCAACCCGCATCGCGCCCTGAGCGCTCCGCCATGCCACCAAGCGCCGCTTCGGATCCCGCGAGCAACCTCTACCACACCCGAGACTTCCGACGCAAATACCCCAAGCTCGAGATGATCACCCAGAAGGATCTCACCACGCTTCTGCTGTCTTCCCCCAACGAGGACGGCACTCGCAGCTTGCAAGCGCCCGAGGATGCTACCAACACCACCGCCCTCACGCGTCCTGCCGATCTCGAGTCGCCCACCGCTTTCACCGATGTGTTGGCACAAGTGCACAAGTCGTCCGACGCTTCGTCGCCAAGCTTCTACTCGGCTTCCAACCTGCCACCACGCCCTCCTTTCAAGCAGCCCCACCACATCCTCAAGCTGCAGAAGGGCGCTGTTCCCCACGACCCTCATGCTTACTACCCTGCGTAAGTGCTCAGTTCGCCGGTTCTTGTCGAGGCGAAGCAGCTCGGTCCCGCCCGACCGCGACGGTGCGATGCTCCGATCATCCTATCTCTGCTTCATTTACTGACTGCCGCTTCCTCTTCTGCTGCCCTTCGATACCAACACTGCAGTGAGAACTACGCTTAGAGCGGAACGTTTCGTCATCCAACCTCTTTCCCAAGCATACAAACAGCTCAATTAAAGAAATCTTCACACGATTGAGTACCGTTTGATCAAAGTGACCTTCAACCTCGAAACCTTGTGCATAGGACTCTCCAAAATAGAGCCTGCTTCGCGTCGAAACGGACTGATTGGCTTGCAGAGCTCTGACCATCGCCAGGCATACCGATGCTCTGCGCGCGTACACTGTGCGGCAGAATCGACTAAGCTCCGAGAAGACCGCAGCGACCACAGCCCTTGTTTGTCGATACCGATCTGTTGCCGGATTCTCCCTCGCCCTCCGCTTCTAACGATTCTGCGACCTGCGTGGCCTCCCACGCCAGTCACAGCTTTGAAACCTTGAGTATAGCAATTCTCGGCCGCTTCGCTAGCCACAACCACTACGGTGGTCACTGCTTGGATGCGGCGTACTGTTGGCTGGCCATCGTGGCGTGACGATCGAATCTGGACCGACAGAGAGACAGAGAGGAAAAGGCAATCGGCGGCAGAGCAGCCAAAGTAACGGATGCGAGCGGTGCAGCGCAGTTCATTTCGTACTGACTGGCGTGTCAAAAGAAAGCGCACGCCCACAGAGCCATCCGACTCAGCATGAAGCGCTCGGGCCCCTTTCCGAACCTTCCCTTTTTCATCTTGCCCTTTCTCTTCGAGCCTCCCATACTCTTCAACAACGACGACCTTTCATCCAATCATTCCTATACCTGAGCCCATCATCCAAGACCTCGGCCGGTTTGCGGAAAACTGTTCGACGCAAGCGACCAAGTTTCGTACTCGTGGCGACACGACAGCTGCTCAGTCTCTTGCTGCTCGTTGCGTTTCGTCTCGTCTGCATTCTCTTATCCTTGCAGCAAGACCATGTCACAGCAGGTGCCCGAGCGCCCCTACTGGCTCGTGTGCAATGGCGAACGACTCAAGCAACAGCTGCCCCAATTCTTCGACTATCGCATTCCCATTGACAGATGCGTAGTCTCGGGCATCCAAGGCGAGCCATTCTCTCTGAAGATCAGCAAGGACAAGTATCCGGACGGCGCCCTGGTCTGTGTTAGAGGAGAGCGACCGGACTCGTGGGACCTAGTCTTCGACGCGGTGGCCGACCTGGCATACATCTACCGGCACCTCGATCGCCCCGCAGGGGATCGTGCCAGTTCTTCTTGGGAGTTCCGAGGCGACGACTGGATCTTCGGCCAGATCAGCGTGGTCTGGATTCTCGTTATGAGAAGGACGGAGATGGGCGCTCACGTCGACGCCGTAGCGACGCAATACAACATCCAGTCTTTGCCGAGGGCTTGGCTGGCCGCCTCTGCCGACAGGCTGCTGATCGAAAGGCTCAATAGCCTCTGCCTCGATGTCGGTGGAGATCAACCTACCGAGCCTGCGGCGACGAGGACACCTACAGCATCGCCACGACCATCGCCGTCGACGACGTTGTCGGGTCGGGCCTCTCTGCAATCCCCTCCGCCTCTGGCTCCCGAGATTCCTTTGTCGAACGCTGCTCCATCCAATGCTGCCCCTTCGAATGCTGTTCCATCGAATGCTGCGCCGTTGCCACCGCGGTCGCTTGCGGACAGCACTGCCGCTGAGGGTAGCGCTCTAGGCCAATCTGCGGTCGCTACACCTTTCGATCCCCTTGCTTTCGCTCGCCTGGCTCCTGGCCTCCGACCGCGCACTGCCAGGATCACGAGCTCGATGGAACGATCCATCACCAGTCCCAGCCCTTCCCGTCAAGTGGGACGGCCTTCCCCTGGCCCTAGCCCCGGCCCCTCACATCGCGCTGCGCAGCCGCTCACCTCAGGCACCGGCATCCGCTCTCCAGTTGCAGGCTCGCAGCAGGTGAATCTGCGTACCAGTAGCGCAAGTCCTGCTCGTCGACCCGTCGTCCTCGACCGTGCCTCGATCCGCGGTATCAAGCGTGGTCAGGATGGAGGACGGCGTACAAAGCTAGAAGCTTCAACTGTCTCCGAGGCAGGTCAACGGAATGGTGCAACGCCTGATGCCGGACGTCATCGTCAACATGCTCACGCGCAAATGTTCCCCAGCCGCGCTAATGCTTCCGCGCCTCGTCGTCGTCCTGGCAGCGTGCAAGGGAGCACGCTCGTAACTGCGATCTCGGTGGATGGTGATGAATCTGATGAGCGCGACGACGTCGGCGAATCTGACAAAGCTGACGATGTTGACACTGCTGATGATGCTGACGCTGCTGCCGGTGCGGCCAGCACTGCTGTCGTTGATTTAGCTGACTCAGTCGTGAACGATGCGGACGATGCCGATTCCGACGACTCCGACGACGACACGCCACTGAATCAGCTCGTTGTACGACCTGCCAGCCGAACCGGCGTCATCGATGTGGCCGAGTTCACCCCTCGTCGCTCCCAGCGCCTGTCGGCTCGTAGAGCTCTGATCCCGCATCAACCCGATTGGGAGGCCATCGACCTGCTCAAGTCGATCTGGCATCTGCCTCGGCAGCAGTATCGTATCACAGTTGCGAACCCGGAAAAAATGTCGCAGATGATGGAAGAGATAGACCGAAAGGACGAGGAGCGCAGAGAACAGGAGGCCAGCGAATGGGAAGATGTCGAGGAGGACGAGGAAAAAGAGCGCGAGGACTCGGACCTGTTGCCACTGGAAGAGATCCCGGAGGGCATTCGGATGATCATCGGCGAGGACGCGGTCAACGAGTATCGTCGTCTACCACCGTTCGACGACAGCTACGAACGGATCCCGGCGACAGACTCTGGTTGGCAGATGCGGCCTAAAGCGATCAAAGTGTCGAAGAAGCACAAGTGTTGGAACCCGGACGACTACAGCGTGATCGGATTCCGCGATGCCGAGCTGCAGGAACGATGGAGACGGTACCATTACTGGAAGCAGATGGACGAACGCAGCAAGAAGGAGGAGAAGGATCGAAAGGCGATCGAACGAGGTGCAAGGAGCCTGCCTCGACGTCGAGCGTAGCTGTAGCCACGAACCGTGACGCGAGACGATCGAGAAAGAAATACAATGTTTTAACGAAGTATCGACTGATATAGTACATGATCGGGACAAACCCGACTGTTTGAGAGCAAGTGTTTCACCTGGGACCGTAGCCGGAACTCTTTACGTTTGCGTACTGACCGCCGAGGCCTGCGCTGCCCGAGACGGTGCGCGTGGGGATGGCCGAGGGTCTAGCCGTGCCGCGCTGGGTAGCTGAAGCTGTTCGACCGCGGGTGGCGGCGACGGATGCGGCTCTGGTGGAGGAAGGAGTGCGTGTGGAGGACGGAGCTGAGGAGTCTGTTGTGGAGGGAGCGGTGCGTGAGCTGACAGCGCGACCACGAGCGGCGGTGGTGGTGGTGGAAGCGCCTCGAGCGGATGCGCCTCTCGCAGTGCCTCTTGCGGATGACGATACGGCACGTCCACGACCCCGTGCGCCTCCGACGGCAGCTCTACGCGCCTCCTCCTGACGTCTCCTTTCCTCCTCTTGTGCTTGCAAAGCAGCCTCCTCTGCCGCGCGTTGAGCCTCCAACTCCCTCGCCACCGCCTCCGCCTCCAGCCGTTGCGTCTCTCTCTCAGCCAACTTGACGGAAAGCTCGTGAGCGGTGGCATCCTCGCCCGCACCCTTCCAATCAGGATCCTGCAGCAGCTGTTGGGTCTTTTCTGTCTGTCGTAGCAACGCGATGTAGATGTTGAGCAGATCGTCGGTCTCCTGCACGCGACGGGCGAAGGCGTTGATCTGACCTGCACTGCCACGCAGCATGGTTTCGAAGGATTCAAAGACGTCGTTCATTCGACGAAGTTCGGTGAGCTGACGTGCGGTTTGCTCCTGCGACTCTTTGGATTCGGTAGGTGTGGGACCTCCGGTGGATTGACGAGCGGAGGCGCGTTTGCCGAGGAGCGCTTCGCGGATGTAGTCGTCGTCGATGTCAGCGGCAGAGGAGTCGAGCACGGATGAGGAGGATGCCAGCGCCGAAGCATCTGGTAAGCCGGCGATGGTGACATCGTCGTCATCGTCGTCTGGTTCCGAGTGGTTGATCGCCTTGTTGGGCATGAGATTGGTAGGCACGCCAGGCTTGGCAAACAGAGAAAAGCGAGGTCGAGCAGCACCCGATGCGGTCGGACCTCTCTTGGAGACGGGAGGCTTGTTCTCGTCGTTGACATCGAGCCCTGCGAGCAGGCGCATCTTGGACATGTTTTTGACGGAACTGTTTGCGTCGAGCACAGCAGCTGATCCCCAGGATGGACGCGCCTTGATGGGTTTCTTGACGCCGCCGGCTGCGGTGGATCGATGCGGACCGTGGAGAGGCGAGTCGGAGATGTTGAGATCGCGCATGGAGCTCTGACCGAGTGCGGGCGAGAGGTTCTCGTCGAGCAGCCAGGAGGAATCGGCGGCGTCTGCGGGTTTCGGCGTCGTAGGTAGTGTCGGCATGGCGGATTGTTGGTGCTGCTGGTGGTGATGATGGTGGCAGTGACGATCGATGATGATGGATTGGCGCCCGATTGCAATCTCGAGAACTGAAAAAAAGTGTTGCTCTCCAGTCACGAGGAGAGAACAACAGAGCGAGAGCACAGAGCGCACAGAGAAGAGAGAGCGCGCGCGCATGTGCATGTCTACGCGGCGCGCGTGTTGGTCGCAAATCAACACATTTCCCGCAAAAGGCTTTAAGCATCGAAACGCGTCCGAGGGTGGCTATTTTTCCGTGGCGCCCGACGATCAACTGTGACGAGCTAACAATGCAACGATTGTTTGAAGGTCAGCGCGATCCGCGGGAATGTGACTGGAAGCATGAGATGTGGTAATTTGTGTTGAATGCCGTCGTGGATGGCGATCTGCAGAATGACTTGCAGTAAGTCCGAAGACTAGCGTGGACCCTGTCGCACAAAGTGGAGAAGTGAGCCTCGGAAGAAGAAAATGCCGTGGATGTGTGAGCACACGACGCAGAGATTGTGTAAAGCCGGCGGCGATCATGGACGATGAGCCTCTTCCTTCCACACCACCGCGCTCGACCAACCGCACGCAGACGATATCGCTCCTTACACGACGCTCTTTAGGTCTGCAGTGTCGGATCACCATGTCGTCTTCCTCAGGACAGGCCAATGCTCCGCCTGCGGCTGCCGACGCGGTGCAGGATACCAACTTTGTTCTCCCACCCACTCCCGCTCAAAGCAACGGCGGCTATGGGTCTGCATCCGCTCCCACCGCCGAGGCAGCTCAGACATCCAAACCCACCTCCACCACCTCGCGCGCTCTCGCTCCAGACCTGCTTCGTGGCCTCATCCTACCCCTCATGTCGCTTGACCACGCCGCCCTCTTCCTGGGTGCGTGGCTGCACGGTACACCTAAGCAATCCGAATCCGCAGGAACACCCTTCACCCGTTGGAACTTCACTACTGCCTACGTCTCGCGTACCATCACCCACCTCTGCGCGCCCGGCTTCTTCTTCCTCATGGGCATGGGGTGCGTCTACTTCCAGCGATCTCGTGCCAAGATCGGTTGGAGCAAGCCGAGGATGGCCAAGCACTTTGTGGTCAGGGCGCTGGCGTTGACGCTGGTGAGCGAAGTGCTGGGCGAGAGCCTGATGTGGGGTAGGAGGATCTGGATCATCAACATCGTGTTGATCGGGTTGGCCGTGGATTATTTGTTGACCGGGCTGTTGTGTTTGTTGGTCGACTCGACCGAGGGGATGCTGGCTGGGCAGCTCGACGGCTGGAGCGGTCGAGCAGCTACAAGCGACGGCGACGATGAGACAAGACCTCTGCTTTCAATAGGCGCCGGGCACAGTGCCACCGTTGCATCAGCTTCGTCGCGATCCACATCCATCTCGTTCTGGATCCACAACGCTGTGCTCCTGCTGCTCACCTACATCACCATCTTTTGGAACATCTGGCTCTCACCCACCGGCGGTCACTGCTCTCCCGCATCCTCCTCCACCACTTCGTCTCTCGCCTCACAGATACCAATCGAGCTTCTCGCCCTTAGCCCCACCACCGCCGTCGACCAACCACCGCCCGCCGTACCACCCAGTTCGCGCCTCGGGCCGTGGTTCGACTTTTGGTTCTTCCCCGTCCAGAATCGCTTCGTCATGTCAGGCTTCCCACCTCTAGCCTGGATCTCCTTCTGCCTCTTCGGCATGCTCTACGCCCGCATCATGCTGTACAAACGTTGGACTCCCAAAGCTGTGGCTGCATGGAACGTCGGCGTCAGCGTCGTTCTCGCTGCGCTGTTCGTCGGGACAAGGTTGTTGCATTTCGGAAACCTCTCGGAAGGATGCTTGCAGATCGTAGGGGATGGAGCTGTCGATGCGGCAGAGGGGAACCAATACTTGGTCTCCGTCAAGAGCTTTTTCTACATCACAAAGGTATGTTTTCCTCGATTCGTGATGATGCGAGGACAAAGATGCTGACCCGCCGAGAGGTATATTGTTGCTCTGCGATCATCACAGTACCCACCCAGTCCATCGTTCTTCTTCTTTACCATGTCGGCCAACTTTGCCCTGCTAGCAGTGTTCAGTGCCATCCCACCCACTGTAGCCACCTCGATCCCGGGTTTGATGAACTACGGTGGCTCGGCCCTCTTCTTTTACGTGTAGGTTGTCGGTTTCCCTTCTCGTACGCTGCGCTGTCGACAGCAGTTACTGACGAAATCTTTTGGCTGGATGAACAGAGCGCACATGTACCTATACTTCTTGCTCGCCGTACCAGCGCGATACTTTTTCGAACACGAGTTGCCCGACAAGCCACCCAACGCATGGGAACGTACCACGGGACTCGGCAACACCGCCCCCTTCTGGATCATCTGGATCCTCGGACTCTTCATCCTCAGTCCGATGTGTCGTGCCTACGGGCGATTCAAAGCCAAGCAAAGCGCTGATTCCATCTGGCGATTCTTCTAGATTTTATTCTTTAGACGGATTTCACTGTTCAATGTGCAAACAGCTGGACTTGATATACGATCACTCTGCCGTAGTCGTCTGTGCTTCCCTTGAGCTGCAACCTCAACCACTGAACTTCTTGAGTATCCTCCAGTGAATCGATGAGAAAATACTGCTTGGCGTTGGCGTCCATCGGAAACAACTCTTCTGGCACAGCAGCCGACCAATTTTTACCGTCTTGGCTAGCCAAAACGTCGAACGACATGGGACTAAACCCTCCGGCAAATGTGAGCGATAGACTGTGCAGCTTCGACAGAGAGATTGAAGTGCTGAGTTTGAAAGAGATCGAGTGGAGCGACGTCGAAGGGTCGCTGTTGGGAGGAAGGTTGTCCGAGGTCCAACATGTTTCACTGGAAGCGTCGAGGATGGATTTGCCGTCTTTCGAGGTACCAGATGATACCTTGACACGTGTGTCGGGGGCGAGGATGTTGTGGAGGGTAGAGCCTGATGGAGCAGCGGGTGCAGTGAGCGTGGGTGCTATCGTCATGATGCGAGTTTCGACAAGTGGTGATGGTCGTTGGGAAGAAAACGTTGTGTGCGTAAGAAGCCGAAAAATTTGCCGAACGCTTTGGGGGTGTTGGACCCTGAAAAGCGATTCCATCATCATCATCATCTTCGTCTTGCTCGTTCATCTTCGACCTCTTCTCACACTCTGCATACACATTCTTCTTCGCCACTTTCAAGGTCTGGAGAGCATCTCAGCACCTCACATGCAGTGTCTGCATGACCCACACATTGTACACGCGCATACTTCGTGCACGTACATCACTTCATCTCCCCACCAACGCGTCCCTCTCGCGCTCGAGCCCACACGCGCTGCTCCCTTCCGCTGCTGCGCCGCCCACAAACATCTACCCTTCTCGTCGCATCTCCTTCCTTCCACCGCACCACCACCTCCGCAACGCCATTCAATTCCTTCGATCCACCCTCACGCGATACGACATGGGAAAAGCCAAAAGCGGTGGAGGATACTACGCCGTGCAAAAGGGGAGACAGAAGGGCGTGTTTCGCAGTTGGTCCGAGTGCGAAGCTGTCACCAAGGGATTTGCGGGAGCGGTGTTCAAGAAGTTCGACAGCGAAGGTGCGGCAAAGCAGTTTGTGGATGGGGATGGATATGGTGCGTCCGCAATCAGTTCCACTAGCGAGAGTACGGCCAGCGGTAGCAAAGCGTCGTCCGCGAGTGCACGGTCGTTTCATCCTTACGCACCATCCAAGCACAAGAAACTCTCTCACGATCACACAAAACCACCGCTTCCACCATCTTCATCACGCCGATCAAATCCAGTCTTCGCATCATCATCATCATCATCCTCCACCACCACCGATGCCCGTAAAACCATCGTCTACTGCGACGGCTCCTCCATCGGCAACGGCACCGCCTCCGCGCGCGCCGGCTGGGGCGTGTTCTTCGAAGAGCCTTCCCTCCACCACCTCAACGAATCCCGTCGCCTACCCGGTAATCCTCAGACGAACAACCGTGCCGAACTTATGGCTCTCATCCGAGCAATCCAGTTGTGCCCTGACGACGGACGACAGCTCGTCGTCCTCAGCGACAGCAGGTACAGCATGGATGCCGTCAACAAGTGGTTACCGAACTGGAGGAAGAGAGGGTTCAAGACGGTAGAGGGAAAAGATGTGCAGAACAGAGACCTGATCGAACAGCTGGACAGGGAGCTGCAGAAGAAGGTGCCGGAGCCCAAGTTGGAGTATGTCAAGGGTCATGCGGGCATCGATGGGAATGAGATTGTGGATCGGATGGCCAAGTACGGGGCAAGTTTGGAGGTTGTTGAGGAGGCGGTGGGGGAGAAGAGTGAGCAAAAGGACAGGAAAGGGCAGAAAGAGGAGGGCAGCGCGCAAGGAGAGGATGGAAAGAGTATGATGGGGTTCACAATCAACGTTTCGGTCAGCCCGACAAAGGAGCAAGCTTCTATGGGGTGGCGGTAGATTTGGGCTCAGCAAACAGCACATTGACATGATCAAGAACGTCTGCCAAAAGCGATCTCGTATCCAGTTCGAACAGTGCCTGGCATGGGTGAGCTCTCGTGACAAGCTGTCGAGAGCTGAAAGGTTGCACACCCTCTTGATCGCTGGAATGGAAGCTCCAAAGACGCCTTCGACAGTCTTTCTCGTGCAGAACCGAATTTCGGGAAGAGGAGCTGCTTGTGTGCGCGGTGTGAGACAAGACGAAATCTGCACGGCAAACCTTAAAATATCGAGGCATGAGAGCGCAGAGAGAGATAAGACCCTTGAAACATGTCGAGCTCGGTCCCTTTGTTCAACAAGCCGACCGGGTAAGGAGCACAATCCAGGCTTTCTGAGAACGCTTGTTCAGATGTGACCTCAAGAAGGAACAATGGGGATGCCGATGCTCAGATCTCCGTTCCTTCTTGCCTCCCTCAGGCATTACAGGGTCGTCCTTCATCTCTCTCCCACTCTCATGTGACACTACACCACGACGCTCGAGCCATACTTGCAGAGGTGGGCCTACACGGCGTAGCTAGAGAGGCGAGATTCCCCTAGCGAACGAAGCGGCGAGAATCAGCCTAGCAAGCAGGCATTCGACGCAAAGGATCATATAACATCGTCACCCCAACAGGCTAGCTCTGTACTACCACAAAGGTCTGCTTGATCGACTCGCACCTTCTTCGCCGCTTCAGGGCAGACATTCCTATCAACCTCGTCTTACGCTCCACACTGCCCCTCACCGAGCTGCGTCTATCCCATCCATAGACTCGATCGCCTCCAACACGCCCATCATGCTGGTCTACATCGACGGCTCAGCCATCCGAAACGGTCGGCCAGACGCTCAAGCTGGCTGGGGCGTCTACTTCCCCAATCCTGGGCTCAATGACCTCAGCAGCTATGGTCGACTTCCCGGGGATCTGCAAACCAACAATCGCGCAGAGCTGTACGCCATGTTGAAGGCCCTTCAACTGTTCCGCGGCGATGGACGTCCTCTCACCATCAGGTGCGACAGCAGATACGTCAAGGACTGCATGGACAACTGGCGATGGAAATGGAAGAGGAACGGTTGGCTCACCGTTCGTGGTACGTCTGTACTCAATCGCGATCTGATCGAGGACATCGAAGCCGAGTTTGGAAGACTATCAGATCGAGCCTGACATCGAATACGTCGCAGCGCACGCTGGCATCCGGGGCAACGAAGAAGCTGATCGCTTAGCTAGACAAGGCGCGGAACTCCCGCCCGTGCGGCCTAGAAATTCGTTCTATTACGATTCCGACTCCGATTCGGATTGGTGATGCAGCCCTTCTTAGTGCTGCATAGATAGAGACAATGGTCTCCTGCTCACTTATCTTGATGTCACCATCGTATCACAATATCATGACAAACGTCGAGCTTGTTCATACTTGACATTGATCGAATGCACAGCCTGTGCCCATCGAGCAGCTGTGGCTTCTCGAGCACTTCACGCAGTGACGACGAGAACAGTGAAAGCCGCAACGACTACAACGAAGACGAAATCACCCCACATGCCCAAACCAGCTGCACAGCCGTTGTGCTGCTGTACGGGGTTGAAAGTGCCAAACGAAGCGGAAGAGCCATCCAATCTAGGGAGTGGTGCGTCTTTGTTGTTCGCGTTGGCGGTTGTGTTGGTGACTTCGTCTGGCTTTGCCGGCGGCGGAAGGACGATTCCAGGAGTGTTTAGGTACGGTTGAACCTCGCCCGGGATGTCAGATTGACCTGAAGCTGGGTCTGGCTTCGCACCCTTCGGTTTGATGTTGAAAGACGATGAGGTGTACAACACTTTATCTTCTGTTTCTCGCCCCAAAAGCAGCCATTTCGAAATCAGCATCAACTCTTGCCCTTCTGCTTCTAAAAGTTCCCCAAACTTACTCTTATGATCATACTGGCTAGCATTGACGAACATCAACGAGTATCCACTCGAAGCGGCCAAGCACGGAATATACACCATGGCAGCATTCTCACCACCCTGCAGTGCATTGCCGATTTCGAAATCGTCGTTGAGCAAGGTCTTGTTGGTATTGGTGAGCATGATGGTGACGACACGGGGATCTGAAGCGTCGGATTGCCAGGTCATGTTGTTCCAACCGCACGAGACCCAGTAGTTGGAGGAGGTGGGGAAGGTGAAGTGGAAAGCGGAGGTGGTGGTGAGGTAGAGCAGGAGCAGGGGGAGGATGTTGGTGAGGCGCGGAAGACGTGACATTGTGAACGGTCGCAGGAGGTTGCAGGAAAGGTGTAGAGGGGAGATGATACCGAGTCAACTGAGAATGAGGTCCTTATATACGTCCTTTCCGATACTAACACAAATGTTAGTGGGAAGGCGGTGACGCGGTTGTCCCCTTCTCCCAACCGTTCATCTATTCAGCATCAGCCGCGAATATTGCCGTCGCCACCAACCTGGACACTTCGCATCGAGCTTCATCAGCTCTAGACTTCGACCGTTGCCTTCTGAAGCGTACGGAATCCCACAACTCCGTGAGCCGAATCGTACCCCTGAGTATCCGCATATCGTTTTCACCAATGCGCCAGCTACAATCATGCAGATGCTGCTGTAGGACGCGAATCACACCCCACATTTTGCCTAACAAATGCCGAGAGGATGAACACTCATCCTTTACTACCGAACATGGTCCGATATCGATCCGATCGTCTTTGATTTGAATCCACGTCCTGCAGTCGATGAAAGCAGAAGCAGTCTTTTGTTCAGAACCCACGAGTTGCATCGCCGACAATGAACTTGGACGAAATGAGTCTACAGAGAGTTGAGGGCGGGATTCGGGATGTCTGAGCTCCTGGAACGGTGCAGGAAGATTGTCGTGCGTCGCCATGCGGACAAGACGGGATCGAGACCTTGATGAGTGGATGTTAGAGTATCTTAAAGTTGCCCTTGGATGAAAATGCACGTGACGTGATGAGAAGCTTTGGTTGGAAATTTTTGGCTTGTGAGTTGAGAGACCCTTGTTTCTTGGCTTACTCCACCTCGTTTGTCGCTCGACACCTCACTCTCACCACTCATCCTACAGCATTCGACAAAGCAGCACTCTGCCTCGCGCTCTTTGCTATCTGCCTTACCGATCAGCATCGACTTGGGCAAGCTCTCGTTCCTACAAACCAGCTCACTCGCTTCGCTCATCCACAGACAATGAGGCTGCTAACACACAACCTGCTCGCGTGTCACGCGAAATCCTGTGCAACCACATCCAACAACTTTCCGCTCATCCTCAAAGACGTACAGCTCGAACTCATCGAAGCGGAACCAAACGAGGTGTTCATCAAGGGTTTCTTGCCCAAATTGGATTGGCCAGCTCTGGTCAAGACCGCGAGGAGCTTGGGCGATACCAGCTTGCCGGATCAAGGACCGGATCCGTCACAACCACTAGAGGACGAGGCGCTCATCAAGATGTTGCATCACGTTCTGCTCGAGGTAAGTAGAAGCGGGACACTATGTTGAAGGTGGGAGACAAGGGGAAAGACGGGGAGTGCTGACAGAAAAGTTCTTTTTGCGCTGTTGTGCGATGACAGATTCACGTCGTGGAAGGTCAAATGATCTGCCCCAACTGCTCACATATCTACCAGATTCGTAGCGGCATCCCAAATATGTTGCTGGCCGAACACGAGATCGGAAAGTGAGGCGCTGACGGCAAGACGACGAGCAGCAGATGAACTCATACGAACGAGCGAGCGCAGCTAGCGTAGGACCCGTCAATTCTCACCGCCACTCTCAAGTGTCACTGCTCCACCACTAAGATCGCTTCGTTTCGTTTCTCTTGCAATCTGAGAGATGTATTTGTACCGCATTCATAGATCGATGCACTCCTTTTGCCAGGCAGAGCCTGGGAGAGCACACCACACGACTGCTTACTTGCCTCGTATTGGACTTGACTCGTGCTACGCTGAGACTTAAGCTCCATTTCCACCTGTCAGCACTTCTATTCCCATTGCTTCTACGATCGCTTGGTTGCATGTGTACTCGTTGAGCATGGATGTGTCGATGTCATGTCATGGTGGATTGGAAGATCGGGCCAGATTTGCTTCTCATGAAATTTTCCAACGATTTCAAGTCGACGGTCTCACAAAGCCACGCGTATGGAAATTCAACCGGTGCAGCCACGCAGGAGCTGGGCGCTGCCACACACAGACCACCGAGATCAACACCGGCAACGCACACACGTCCTCCTCCTCCTCCACTCACACCTCGCCTCGACTTCCTCTTCGACCTTGTTGCCTTACGCACCCGCTCTTGCACCACGCTCGTTCTGCATCTATACCGTGTGCGGATACGATCTACGACTTCTCAGCTCCCGACTAATTCCTGCACGTTCATCCACCCTCTGGACACGCCGAAACACACGAAGCGCGGTACCGAGACGCATCCAGGTTACTTCTGTCACCCATCCAGTCACAGCATCAGGCGTCAACAGCATACGATCGCACGATAGCAGGGCAGCGAGACAGTCACAACTTGCAGTGCAACCGGCATGGCATCCTTCTTCTCCTTCTCGTCACCGGTCGACGTCGACGTGCGTCTGGACGGCGAAGATGCACGCAAACAGGTCGAGATCAAGATGGACAAGGCGGGCAAGGAAAAGTGTCCCATCTACTTTGATGGTGAAGCGGTAAAAGGATCGGTACGTCAGAGCTTCGTCTTTTGTCTTGGAGAGCTTAGCCAAGGCATGTTTAGCTGACACTCATCACTGGCGTTTGGATATTCACGGATTGACGCACCATCACAGGTATCGGTACGTGTACGCGATGGAAAGAAGCTCGTACATGAGGGGATCAAGATCGAGTTCGTCGGCAGTATAGGTACGTACTCGACCTGCGACGGTGATCTTACAGCTCGATACGGATCCACTGACATTCGCAACGAGTCTTCATGTCATTACACTTGCAACAGAGATGTTCTACGATCGAGGCAACCACTACGAATTCCTCTCGCTCGTACAAGAGCTCGCATCACCGGGAGAGATGAGGGCAGCGCAGAACTTTGACTTCGAATTCAAAAACGTTGAAAAGCAGTACGAAAGCTACAACGGCATCAACGTCAAGTTGAGGTGCGTATCCCACGAGTTCTGTTTCTTTGGACAAAGAGTAATGCTGACAACAAGAGCCCGCGTACTCGATCGCTCCGTGATTATGGCAGATACTACATTCGAGTGACGATATCAAGACGAATGACGGACGTGGTCAAGGAACGCGACATTTGGGTTCACTCGTATCGTATGCCACCAGACTCCAACAACGCCATCAAGATGGAAGTCGGCATCGAGGATTGTTTGCACATCGAGTTCGAGTACAACAAATCCAAGTAAGTCCTTTCCCCTTCAACGATTTTCACACTCATCTCCTCTGACCAACCCTCTTCTCCATCTGCCCTACTGCAGATATCACCTCAAGGACGTGATCGTCGGCAAAATCTACTTCCTCTTAGTCCGCATCAAGATCAAACACATGGAGCTTTCCATCATTCGACGCGAGACCACCGGGGCAGCACCGAACCAGTACAACGAGTCGGAAACCATCACCAAGTTCGAGATCATGGACGGAGCGCCCGTGCGAGGCGAGACCATCCCCATTCGTCTCTTCCTCGGAGGGTTCGAGCTGACTCCCACCTTCAGGGACGTCAACAAAAAGTTCAGCACGAGGTATTACTTGAATCTGGTGCTCATCGATGAGGAGAACAGGAGGTACTTCAAACAGCAGGAGATCACCGTGTTTAGGATCCCGGAGAATTGAGACGGGTAGACGAAGGGAATTTTCAAGACGAGAGTACATACCCGAAGAGATGAGTTTTAGTTACAAACTTCGTGTTTGTGTGCGTTGAAGGTGGAGCTGGGAAGGTGCGTGATTGCGAGATGAGTCGGCGGTTGATGGAGAGAGAGACGCACGCGCCTCTCGTGTTCCACGACGATGGGTAGCAGGTGTCAGGTTTGGCGTTTGCCTGGACGGTTGCACCTCGCTCCTTCTCTCGCGAGACCAGATTTCGCAAGTGAATCGACGCTTGTGCCTGATGAAACACGGACCGTCCGCCTGAGCGTTTGGGAGGGAAGCACCGAGTGGAATCGCGCTCGGCCCCTGCGTGTCAAATATCGCCACGGCCATGGCACTCCTCCTCGACAGGTCCCAAGCAATGGTCACAAAGCGAATGGATCATCCTCAGTCATCTTCCGTTGCTCGATGGCCGCGGTCTGAGAACAGACCTCTGCCTCTCTTTGGACCGCATCTGGCAAACTAGCACGAACCCTCAAGTCTGCCAGTCGTGTATTCCGATGTCAGATAGCCTGTGCTGCGCAGCTGGCGGCGATGTCTGTGTTTCGTGCTCAGTGCTCAATCATATATAACATCGAATCGCCTCATGCTCCGCACTTTAATTCGCGATCCCTGTCCTTGTCACTCTCCCAATCCAGTCCAATCCCAAGCCCTAGCGGCATCCCACTCTCCTTCACCATGTCTTGTCCAATGTCTTTTCCGCTTGACAACGAATTGCAGAAGCGAGACACAACGCTCTTTGGCTTCCCCCTCTTCGCTCCTTCCGCCACCACCATCTCTCACAAGCGGAGACAACTCGACGCCGTAGCATCCGCATACAACCCACCTAGCCGTTCCGCTCCGAAACCTCCGAGCACCCCAATCGACTTTTTCCACCGTCACACACCTCGACCACCTTCGCCTCAAAGCACGTCGGATACCATTGTCACCAGAAAGACAGCTTCGGTGACGAAGAGTCAGGATGCAAGGCTGGACCTGAGTCCGCTGTCGATGTTGTTCGAGGCGATCATAGCGGACGTCGATGGTGATGAGAACGCGAAGGAGGGGGAAGGCATAGATAGGGAGAGCGTGTCGGATCGGTGCAATGTAGGTACGACTGATACGTCGAGTGAGGCGACGTCGAAGGGATCATTGGGTGGAGGTGGGGTGAAGCGGGGTTGGGAAGGCGATACTTTTCCGTGCAGTCCTGGTCACACTGATACTTCGAGTGTCATGCTATCCAATATGTCAAGATCTCTCGCGCACGATGTCAGTCGCGTACAGGCATACCGTAGCAGTCGAGGATCTGCTACTAGGTCGAGTCGCATCAACACACACCGTTCGGCAAAATCAACCGTCCTGCCCACGTCAAACAGAATCTCCGATCATCAAGCCTTCCCCTACAAGTCGCGTCTATCACTCACCACTTCCACCCTGCGTTCTTCAAGCATCTCTGACCCCATCACACCTCAACCCGAAGAATCCTTCCCTCTACTTCACGCTCCTCTTTCCCGACCCGTTTCGTCAACTTTATCCACAGCAACATTCCCGACCCTTCTACCGCTGACCCCAACTTCGCCGATCATTAACATCGGGACGATGCTAGACTCTACGCTGACCTCCCTTCTCGCGCATCACGCGCAGTTCTCCCCTCCACCAATGCACCCTGGTCAAGACTCGCTTCTCTTTTCATCCTTTCCAACAGCACGAGGAGCCTCGGTGTCGCGTTCAGAGCGTCAGACTCACGAGAGCGGAATCGTCGACACGAATCATCTTCAACTCGCACCTCCACCGAGAGACAGCTTTGGTACGGTATGGAACCCCTCCCCTCCGCCTACTGCCACTACTGCCACTGCCGTCGATCGATCCCTGAGGGTCTCGCCGCCCAGGCCGGCCAGACCGGCACACTGCAGAGACACCCTGGAGGATTTCACGCCGTTCACCGTTTCCCCCGTCGCCTTTCAAAGTCCTTGCTTGAAAAGCATCAGGAAAGCTCCCCGAGAGTATCTGAGATTGGAAACGAAAGGTAGAGAGTCGGTCGAAGAGGTTCAACAGGTGGCGAAGAAGAGGGAGGGAGCAGAGAAGGAGTTGAAGAAGTTCAAGTTGGCTCCTGCACCACCGGCCATTCCGAGAAAGGCTAGTGGGAGGAAGTCTGCGGCGAGGACAGGAAAGAATGGGGAGAAAGACTTTGCTGCTGCGAAATCGAGTTCAGCTGTTGCGAAGGAGGTGGATGTGCAAGGCGGAAAATCAAGAGTTGCGGACGACGGACGTTGGAGGAGCAGCGCATTGTCCGTACAAACGTTCGTCTCGGCTCTTTCAGTTCTCGACACGGTAGACTACAATGACGTACCGCTCTACACTAACCGTTCCGTAGCGAACGAGAGGGAGCAGCAAGTGGAGAGCAAGACTAGGGGGGTACACGAACCAGTGCAGTTGAAAGACGAACCCATGGAGGTGCTCAACACGATTGCGTCTCCCGCCCAACTCGCTCCTCTGCGTCGTCCTCCGTACAAGCAGACTCGTTGCCAACCATCGAAACCACCTCCGCCTCAGGTAGCGAAAAAGCCTTCGCTCATTCGGAAGCTCTCCGCTTCGCTTCGTATGTCTCCTCGACCCACCATCAAGAATGTTCACGTTGGTGGTGCGACGGACTACAGCAAGCTACCGCTCGATTTCCCGCCGACCTCCATCGTAATTCCTCCTCCTTATTCCGCACCACCCACTCGACGTCCAACTATCAACGTCGTCCGTTCCAACCCCTCCCTCTCCGGCGTCTCCACGCACCCTCACCCCACCACCTCCGTGCGAATGCGTTCCTTCAGCCACACTTCTGCTCCTTCTCCCACCCCCCGTCCGCGCAAACCTTCCTCATCCTCCACTCCACCGTCGACGACGAAAACTCGAACCCTGGCATCCACCTCCAGCACCGCAGCGGTGGCGTTGAAACCGTCGCTGAAACGCAACGCAAGTCTCTCGAGCACCGGCACCACGCATACATCCGCGAGCCACTCTTCGAGGCTGAAAAGGAGGCCGAGCCGAACAACCATCGTCGGATCGGCAAGCGAGTGCGTTGGGGAGATTAGGGCGAAGAAGTCGGTGACGTTTGGAGGCGTGATTCGGATCGGATCGATGGAAAAGGACAAAGAGGAGAAGGAGAAGGAGAAGGAGGAGGAGAAGGAGGAGGAGGATGGAGAGTTGAGGGAGATGTTGTGCGGAGGTAGAAAGATCGGGCCGGACCCGGAAGAGGTGGTGGAGATTGAGCGGAGTGAGCAAGAGGTTGCAGGAGGGGCGGGTACGCAGTCAGATTACGTATCGTCGATCAAAGGGTTGTTGGGGAGCTTCACAAGTGCGATTGGCGGGTGGCGTCGGAGTCCCTCGTGAACCTCGCTTCCTGTATCTCTCGCACAAAGCCATGTCTCTCATCTCTCGTATCAACATCATCGGTCACTGTGACGTGCTTGGCTGGCCAATGCAATTTATACACCACTTGCGTGTCGTCCCGTGCAACCTGATATCCATCAATACCGCCTGACCGAACCCTCCGCACCAGCCACAACCGTCCTGCCCTCCCTATCCAACCCAATCCAACTCGTCGGGTCGCAATCCCACCCCGCATACTCGTGCACCACCCTCGGCGCCCTCACCCTCGCTTCCTCTCCATCCACCTGCATGTCCACCTCACCCTCGACCGCAGCTCGGTACGGCAACCCATCCTGCGTAGCCACCAGCACCTCGTGCGCGTTGTTCGGCGAAGTGGTGAGACGGATGCTGTTGATCTCGGCGTTGTTGCGTCTCCACGTCGTCAACAAACCTTTGGACGCGGCTGTTGGTTTGGAATCGTCCTGCGAAGAAGACACGTTTCGAACGTCCCACACGCTGACGATGCCATTCGTGGTGCCGGTGACAACCGTGTTACCCATGACATCGATCGCCGTCACTCCCGCGCTCGTCTCCTGCGTCCACAGATCCGTTGCTGTCGGCGCCTCCCCCGGCGGAAAACTAAACTTGCTTACCGTCAGAGTCGCCGTCGCCGTCCTCAAATCCATCATCTGCCAAACACCACTAGCCAGCCCCGTCACAAACGCACTCTGCTCCTCCTCCTGTCGATCCAGCGCCAGACACTGCACTGCAGAGTACCTCTCACTCCCCATCAACCGGATCTGCTTCGGCGCCGCAACGTCCCACAATCGGATCGAACCGTCCGCACCCGCCGTCAGCACGTTCTTGCCCCTACCCAGGATTCCCGCGGTCAAAACGGCTCGCTTGTGACCTTGAAGCGTGCGCGGGTTGTCACCCGTGAAGGGGTCCCAGATGCGAACGGTGAGATCGCTCGATGTAGACAGAACGACTCGGTTGGAAGGGAAGAACTTGACGAAGCGCACGTCTCCAACGTGACCTTTCAGGCACGTCTTCTTGGTCTGTCGCGCTTTGGCGGAGTTGACGGCGAGTCGGACGCGCGCTTCGATGTCCCACTTGCGCTCTTCCGGATCGGGAGATTCGCCGGTGAGGATGTGCTGCTCTTCCGGAGTGAGGGAGGAGATGGCCAGGTTCCGCGCTTCGGAAGCGTCAAATTCCGAGGCTAGGCGACCGGTGTACAGCGACCCTTCTGCTCCACCGGCTACAAAGAGATCGAGCTCGTCTTCTGCGGTGCCGAGAGAGACGTCAAAGGCATCGATGGTGGGGTGGTTTGTGTAGTTGTCGTTCACCTTGGACGTTCCTACGGTAGGGAGAAACTTGGTGACGGTTCTGCGAGGGAAACGCACCTGCACCCCCGAGTCTAGCTCGATCTCGGGCTGAAGGGTTCTCGCCGATCGTTTGTCGCCGCTGCCGCTGCTCTCGGTTTGGGATCTGGACTCCTGCGTCAACTGAAGGTCGAGCCACGACCCTTGCACCCGGTTGATCTGCAACCCGTTGGCAGGACCGCCGGACAGGTCGACTTGACCGATCTTGACACCACCCTGAGTGTCGACGTTGCTCCCATCGTCTTTGGTCTGTATCAGCTGCAACTTGGCGTGGACGCTGGATGATGGCGCATTGGAAGAGTAGTACGAGAGCCACGCTTTCTCGGCTGCGATGGTGGAGGATGAGACGTCTGAGAACACCTCGGCGTAGTTAGGCTGCACTGAGATGTACGGTAGCGCCGCCATCGTGTGAAAGGTGTGTTGCGAGAGTAGAAGAGCGACGTTGAGGGAGAGGGTGAAATGAACTTTCTTAGAGCGAGGATGGTGGAGCCAAAGGGGAGAGAGAGCTGAGCATGTCGGAGAAAGCTTCTCAACGCCGCGTCAGTGCGCGGCGCAGCGCCTTTTCTTTTTACCGGATCTCGGACAAATTGGCTGCAAAGTGGAGTTAGTCCGTGCGACCTGAGACCTCACGTTCTTCTCAACCTACAACACACATTACAACTCTCGATCACACTTCAATCAGAGCATGGCGTAGGACTGCATCATACCATCAGCGGTAGCATGCAAGACTGATTGCTCAGTACTTGATTGAAGGCGGCTCCCTACCGGTGAGACTTGGGCCCCTTGTACGCCAACACAACAACGTCTCCCTCCCTCCTCGCATCCTCGTGCTTCGGCGTATTCCAATACCTCGCCACCTCTCTGTACCCTTTCAAGCTGAGAAGATTCTTGAGCGTTCTCGTATGTCCCGGCCTTCTCGTGCCCTCCTTCAGCAAACTCTCAAAAACCACCAGATGACTCGGCCACGAATGTCGCCACCCCTTGTCCCACGCATGATGGTCTCCTTCCCGCCTCGGCTCGGGTGACGGCGGATAGTCCGTGTCGACGTTGTACGGGAAACGATCGACGAGGTACTTGATCGGATCGTGGTAGAAAAAGTCGCTCTGATCCCAATATTTCGTCACCTTTTGCGAAGCGATCATTGCGGAGGGGGGCGGTGGTGGCGGACATTGCACGAACCAGCTTCGTTGGACGAGCTGCGCGTCGTGCAAGTGTGTCGCCCATGGGGTTGAGTGGCACGGCATGAGGAAGCCGAGGTTGTGGATGCGCCCGATACCCGGACCAAATTCGGCCTCGTCTGCAGATGATGAGGGCGTGAGCTGCTGCTGACGGTAGATCCTGCCAAGCTCGTAGGGGACTTGCTCTTGAGCGACAGAGTGGATCGAAGTGAGATAGATGGCTGCTATTGCTTGCAAGGTCAGCAGCAACGCTCGCAGCCAGAGTGGCAGGAGATTGAGTGTCCGCCACAGCTGCTTGACAGGGCTGGCTTGTCGTTGAAGCAGCATCGTTGCAGGTGTGCGAGACGCTGCGCTGGCATACGACTCTGCCAAACCCGTTGCGGCTAGGATCGTAAGAGCGGGCAGCAGAGGCTGAAGGAACCTAAACTCTTTGTGTCCGAGCAGAGAGTAGACGGCTACTGTAACGCAGACGAGTCTCGCCAGCGACTTCTTCACATCTGCACCTATACCTCGCCTACTACTCGTTTGGAAAGCGTGTATCAATCCAAACAGCGTCGCCGGCAACCAAAGCGTGCACAGCACCGGAACGCCTTGACTGATATACCAGTGCCAGGGGTTGGCACCGTAAAAGATGCTGAGGTTGGCAACGACATTCTTGTGTACGAACGAGACGAGGCTGAGCGCAGGCAAGAGTCGCCCACCCTTGGGTGCCTGGTTGGCTGTGTAGTCGTAAGCGGTATCGACCACGAGGGCGATGCCCATGGCTGCAAGGCCGATGGTCGCAAGCGTGCTGACGAGACTGCTAGCTTCGCCGACGAGCTCGAGAAATGGAATCAGCGAGCCTTCCTGCACGTCAGCATTGTCTTGTTTCCTTCGACGTTGGTTCGCGTCGGTATCTTGTCGAAGAGATCGCACCTGCCTGACCAGCATCTCGATAGCCAAATACACCCACAGAACGCCGTTCGTCGGGCGCAACAAGCACGCCATGGCCGCCAGCACCACGCTCTTTCGCAGCGCACGATCGTACACCGTCCTCGATACCTGTTTTGCGTCCAAGTCCACGTCATCCTGCGACTGCACCTCCCGCGGAGCCATCTGCCGCCATTCGCATCCCGGTCCCTGCAACTGCACCAGTTGGTCTCGCTCGTCCTTTGTCGAAAACGTCCCCACATCATATCTGCGGGACATGAACGGCACAAAAGGCCAGTAGAACAACGCTGCCGCTGTGATCGCTGCCTCTGTCGTATTGCTGAACGTCCTCGTCGCCGTGTACAGACCATACAGATTCGTCACACCGACAAGCGCAGCGAACCACGCAACCACAGGTCCGCCGATCCGTTGCCCGAGTCGGAAAGTGTACCAATCGCCGATCGCTGCGACGACCGCTTGTTGCAGCCGAGGAAACAGCGCAAGGAGGTACGACTTGTCCAGTCCGGTGAGCTTGAGTAGGGCGTAGCCGGGCACGAATAGGAGCGGGTGCAAGATGGATCGAACGGGACCATTGAGCAGGTTCTGCAGCGCGGCGGTGATGTACGATGCATCGTGAGGTGCGGTGTGGCTGGAAGACCACTCCCAGCTTTTGAAGCCGTATCCGAAGACGAAACGGTGAGCGATCTCGGTGGTCTGATAGTGCTCGTCTGGTTGGAAGAATGTCCGTGTGGCGAGAGCGTTCAGGAGACGAAATGCTAGGGAAAAGTAGAGGAGTGAGGCAAGGTTGACCGGAGACGGTGACTTTTGCGTCTTGGCAGAAGCCAAGGGCGTTGGTGACGGTGCCGGCGTCTGTGAATCCCCCGGGGCTGCCTTCGATCGTGGGCGAGCACGAAGCTCCATGTTTCTTTGTGACGAACCAACGGAATCAATGATGTATGGTTGCACGTCAATAAGAAAGTGGAGCAAGAACGAAAAGCGTTTCAGGGTCTCATCCCTCCACGCATCAGTGTTGGTCTGCACGTCCCACACGACTTGTGACGCGACATCGAAACCAAGTCTGCAGCATCGAACACCTATCTCACGCTCACGCTGATGTTCTCACACTCACGCACAATGCCTCCCGAATCTCGTTCGCCGCTGTAAAGTCACATTGCACTCTGACAGAGCAGCCGCTACGCCCTTCTCCTTCTAATGTAATCCCTAACGGGCTCATTGCCCGCTTCGTCGACAAAGAACCTCCTCTTTTCCTCGTCCTGCCAAACGAGCACGCCCAACTGCTTGGAATAGTTCCTCACCTCTTCAAAGTCAAATTGACTCGTAAAGTCGGTGAAGAGCGAACCCATATTCTGCTGCACTCGATTCTTCTCCCTCTCCCACAACCTGATCTGATCCGACACGGTCACGGGAAGCAAGGGATCGTTTCGATGCATCTGGACGTGCGCGTGATGCGTCAGGTACGTGATGATCTGCTCCGCCGTGATGCCGTTCGCCAGCGCCGATTTGACTGAATCTCGCGTGATGGATCCGACGACGAGGTTGGGGAACCTCGCCTTGATTGTGACGAAGAGCGAGAGCACCGCCACTCGAAGTGGATTGGACGTGTAGGCGTACAGACGGTAGTTGGTCTCGAGGATGATGTAGCCCCGCTCTTCCTGCTCGGTTCCATTGCTCGAGAGCAGCGGTACGGCCGCCGACGACGTGAGAGTGGTCGCGAGGCGTGTGGGGTAAAAACGTCGACTGGACGCCTTGCGCTGGTAGACGAGGCCGTAGTCGCGGAAATCCTCGAGCATGTGCAGCTGCGTTTCTGGAAGCTCTTCCGTCGAGTAATCCCTGCCGAGCTCCAAGCTTCCAAGCATGAAGAGGAAGGCGAGCACCTCCACCAGATCCATGTTCCGCTCCTCTGCCATGTCGAGGTATTGCAGCAGCAGATCCCACAGCTGCGTGTTAACGTCTTCGAGCAAGAATTGGAATCCGCGACTGGTGATGTTGAGACCTCCATTTGACCCCGAGGCCGATCTGGGCTGCATGAGGTTGCTTCTGCGAAGCAGGTACAGAACCGGTTCTCTCGGAGTACTCGAATTGTCGCTGCCGACCATGTAATGCAGAATTGTCTCCCACTTTGTGCGTGCATACTGATCCAGGAACGCGACATCCACCGCGTTCTTGTCCTCGGTATCGCAAGGCACGCCGAAAGATCTATGCTTCCCTCCGCCCGTCAACGCCCTGCGCATGCCTTCTGTAAACACTGCGTTGAGCAGCAAAATCTGTTTGCCCGCTGTTGTCTTGAGCTGAACCACCGACAGACGGGAAAGCTTGTCGACAGCCGTATCGAAGTCGCCCTTCGCTTCCCTCTTGATCCATGCCAAAAAGTCATCTGCTGCAAGAGGTACGTCGAGGAAGAGCATGTGCATGATGAGCTGGCGCGCCATCATGGGCAACAATCGAAAGATGGCGAGGCATGACGCTGGTTTCTCGTACAGACGGATGAGCACCGATCGTGGTTGCCGGTCCAAAAAGTCGTCGATGGTCTCTGCACCGATGCCGGCGGCTCTCGAGTGCTCAGATATTGAGATGGCGGTGTTGGAACCTCCTTTGGCTGTGGATGTGATACCCTGGCCTGGCCCTGGTGTGTGTCGCTGGCTTGCCATGGTACTGTTTTGGCCAGACTAGTGGAGCACGAGAAGCACGCACGAGCGTAGGATGAGATCGCGCTCAGTACTGCATCTGCCTTGCTGTGCTTTGTACGCCGGTGCTGAAGGGCTGGCGGTAGGAATGAGGAGGAGCAGGAGGAGCGGCAATGCAAGGAGGACAAGAACGAGTTGGCTGCTGCGCAATCAATCATTCGTCAGTTCCTCCACACGACAGCACGCGACAAATCCGATTTCCGAGGCGGGGCGAGCGTGGTCGATCATTGATTGAGCTTGCAACGTCCGCAAGAACATTGGTTTGAAAGTCTCAATCAAAATTTGAAAGGGTCCTCCTTTCGTCTTTGAAGCCAGAAGAAAAATTTGGGTGACACAACGAGATTCGTGACAACTTCCCCTACTTCTTCCATCACTCCTCCAACATCATCATTCGATCGGCGAAAGCAGCTTCGCCACCATGGCAGCATTCAGCACCACCGACGAGGCTGTCCTCACTGCCCCTCTCGAGCTCAATCCTCTTGCCCAGTCAGCCACTGCTTCCTCCTCGGGTCGCCCCATCTATTACATCTACGACGTCGTTTCCACAGCGGCAAAGATCCGCACCGGTCGCTTCAAGCGAGTAGCTCTGCAGTTTCCCGACGAAGCACTCATCGACTCCGTTCCAGTCTACTGGGCACTCAAGAGCGAGGTTCGAAAGATCTACTCCCATGACGCTGCTGGCTCAGATGCTGCTTCGGCTTCCACATCGACCTCGGCGTTGGGCTCCAGTACCGGCTTGCCTGAATTTTACATTCTCGCGGACACAAGCTATGGAGGATGCTGTGTAGACGAAGTAGCCGCAAAACACGTCGATGCGGACTTGGTGGTGCATTACGGTCACGCTTGTCTCTCTGCCACTGCGAGGATGCCCGTCATCTACGTCTTTACCAAGCAACCTCTCGCGGATGTTGCGGCTGCTGCTTCGGGCTTGGCGCAAGAAGCAAGTCAGCATATCTCCAGTCAAGTCGAAGAGGATAACGTCAAAGCTTTGGTGTTGACCTACGATGTGTCGTGGGACCACGTGGTAGACGATGTTTACCACGCAACACAAAAGGCGCTAAAGGGCAAAAGTGTTGATCTGCCCCTTGTCAGGACACACGTCGACGTTAGAAGGAACTACCAGGACAAGCTCGTCAACGGAAAGTCTTCAGCTTCCAGCGCGGCCAAGCAAGCAGATTGTTGTGGTGCTTCTCGAGACTCGTGTTGCGGTGGAGCAGAACAGATCTTGTCCTCTTGCTGCAATGGAGGTGGCTGTTCGTCTCAAGATGCAGCGACGTGCTGTACTGGGGCTGCGGCGACAGCACCTTCACCATCATCAATAGGACCGCCTCCTTCCACGACATCGACCATCAACGATATCGCCTCTTCACAATCATCACAACCACTCGGACCTTCCCGCATGGTCACCCTTCCACCCGGCGTCACCCTCTCACAATGTGCCTACCTCTACCTCGGCCCCGAATCTCTCTCCCTCACCAACCTCCTCCTCACACTCGGCGCCTCGACGCCTCTCATCTCGTACAACCCGCTCACCTCCACCTCTCGCGTCGAAACCGGCTCCACCAACCGTCTGCTCATGAAGCGGTACGCCTCGGTGCTCAAAGCGCGCGATGCCTCGGTCGTCGGCCTCCTCGTCGGCACCCTCGGCGTGCACTCCTACCTCCCTCTCCTCAAGTACCTCCGCCAACTACTCACCGGCAAGAAGTCCGGTCGCAAAGTATACACCATCTCCGTAGGCAAACTCAACCCGGCCAAGTTGGCCAACTTCCAAGAGATCGACGTATTCGTCCTAGTCGCCTGCCCGGAGAACACGTTGGTGGACAGCAAGGAGTTTTACAAACCCATCGTCACACCGTTTGAGATGGAGTTGGCCGTCAAGGCAGCAGAGAGGCAGCAGGCGGGTGAGGAAGGTGTGGATTGGAGTGGAAGGTATGTCTTGGATCTGGAACGATTGGTTCCGGAGGAGTTCAAGAGTGAGGGTGGCGATTTGGAAGCAAAGATGGATGGTATGAAAGTCGAAGAGAGTGGAAATGTCAATGAAGTTGACGGCGACGACGACGACGACGATGACGATGATCAACCACACTTCTCCCTCATCAGTGGAACCTACGTTCACAGGCGAAAGTTCAACACCAAACCCACCACTCCCGCTCTTCCCTCCAGCGAAGATGTCCACCTGCAACTCACCACCAAGCCAACCGGCACTGGCAACCAAGATCGAGTGGTGATCCGTAATCCAACCACCGGCGAGCTCACCACTGTTCTCGAAACCGCTTCCATCGCTCACCTCAACAAGCGCGGCTGGAAAGGACTGGAGCAGCGCTTGGGCATGGACGAACCAAGCGTACTCGAAGAGGGTAGGGAGGGTATTGCGAAAGGATACAAGGACGCTGGTGGACAAGGCGAGATCATGTAGCTTCACTACTAAGACATTTTCAATCACATCCTTCACACACCACCATCAGCCTCAAACAAGCAGGAATGAAAAAAACAAGAACGATTATACGGATACCCGTGTCGACGAAACAAATGCTAATGAGACTCCTCACTCACCGCTCAAATTCCACCATCACCACCACCCTCCAACAACCCAACCAATAACCACGAAGCACCCGCAGCCACGCCACCTACAGCGAGCGTCGACACCGCACCATACGCATATCCCTTCACCCCACCCTCTCCACCCGTAACCCTCTGTTTCACCACACCGAACACCAACAGAATCACACCCGTGATGATCACCGACAGCAGCAGAGCCCTGCCCGCATCCTGCACGAACACGTACGGAAGCAGAGGGATGATGCCACCGATAAAGTAGCTCAGACCGATGGTGAGCGCCGAGATGTAGAGACGCGATGTGCTGACGGGCTCGAGGCCTTCGCCCAGCTTGAGCAGGAACGGCGTGAGACCTGCTTGGTCGAGATCTGCTTCGGGGAGGAGCTGCTGCGATTCCTCATCCGTGGAAGTGACGCGCTTGCGTGTAGCGACGACCGAAGACGACGAAGGCAGAGGAATGTAGCCGAACAGTTTGCGCCCGGCTGCATTCGATGTGCGGTTTTGCTGGATGGCAGCCATCTGTTCTGCCTGTCGACGCGCCTGTTCCTTGGCAGTCAACTCAGCCGCAATCTGAGCAGAGGTGTCCGGTGCAATACCATATCCCTTCAGAATATCGTGCACCTGACGCTGGACTTCAGTTCCACACGACCTCTCCACCCTCTGCTGTGTCGACTTGAGGTTGTACGCGAAATGGCTCATTTCAGCCTGAGCCGACAAAAATCCACCGATGCCCATCGAGATGGCACCCGAAACAAGCTCCGCCAATCCAGCCAGCACAACGAGCCTGGTCGAACCCGTCGAAGACAGACCGGCAGTGAGCGCGAACGGCACCGTCAAACCATCGCTCAGACCGACGATGCAGTCACGTGCAAAATCAGGATCGATCAAGGTTCGTTCGTCGGCGGAAACGACGTCTCGGCAGCAGACAAAGGTGGGATCGTGCTGTTCGGTGGCAGGACATTCGTGGGCTGCGCTAAGCGTGGAAGCGGAAGACGAGGCGGTGGTCGCTAGGTAGCTATCGGAGGCGTTGTTGGAGGTGGTCGACCAGAGGAGAGGAGTGGATTCGGTCTTGGAGGTGGTCTTGGGAGGCAGCTTGACCGAAGCGCCTTGGGAAGAGGAGGCACAGCTGCAGTTGGCACATCCACCACCTGCGCCAGATTTCTTGGTTGAGGAGCAGGCCATCTTTGACGGCGTTGCCAGTGCGAGGTTGCAAAAGTAGGTTGAGTTGGAGGAGTGAGGAGAGGCACGCTGTCGGGAATGCAGCTCGCTATATATCACAGTCGAGCGGAGCAGGTCCGACCCCTGCGGGAAAGAGACAGACAGCGTTAGCTCTGCAGGACGCTGGAATGTTCAGGTGAGGAGGAAGCGCCGATAGCCAATGATGCGCAGTGCATTACAGATTCGCGAACCGTCGGGACAAGGTCCGTGGCACACATGTCACACAAATTGCGCTGGGCTTCTGTTGCCAAAAGAAGAAGACAAGCTGGCCGACGATCTTCTCGCATGCGCTGAGTTAGCCGAACTGAGCTTTGTTTCTTGGGTTGATAAGACTTTTTGGTTTCTGGAGTGATAAAATCACCAAATGGCGACACTTGGTCGATGAGCCAATCAAAGCCATGCTATTGCAAATCTATCCACCGAGCATTCGAACTTGAGAGAAATATAACCAGAACTAACCCGCGGCCTAACATATCTTTGTTTCAAATCGGTGTAACATCGTTGAAATATCGAGGCGTGCACAGAAGAACGAGAAGGCATGCAACGCGCGACGCGTTAAGGTGGGTGAAACCGCACCGAGAAAAAAGAATGGGCGAAAGGGTCCGAGTCCGAGACAAGAGTGACAGACAGCGCCGTCACGGTTGACAGACTCCACTTCTGATGAGGCGGCGAAGATGCACTTCTCAAAGTCTCAGCATCCAGTCACAGGACACGCTCGACTCAGCCTGACGAGTCTTCCTTTCATCACTGTACCATTCTCTTTGCATCGCATCTCTTCATCGGCATCCTCCGACTCTTCTCCTTCCAGCTAGCCAAAGGACGAGGTTGGCAAAAGAGCCGTATCCACTTTGACTCTCCTTTGCTCCTATCTTATTTCGGAACGTGGACCGACGGCACCGCACCACATCGGTGCTGATTGACACGACCTTTATCGCCTTCCGAATGTTCTGATCAATTCAGCTACCAACGACGTCTTTCTCATCGGCTGCTGCGAGCCAAGTTCTCACGCCATCGAGATCATGCAGGTCGAGGCACCTAACATGGCCGCGTCGTCCTCGCCCCTTTCATCGCTCTCGTCGCTCGTTCCCTCGTCAGTCCCCTCGATCGAGCCTGCACCTGCAGTTGCTGGCAGCCGAGCCAAGTTTACCTACTCGCGCAAATCATTGGCATCCGAACAAGACGACCAGGCGCGCGGTGCTCAGGAATCGTCCTCCTCTTCCTCGCAGCCTGCATCTCCTTCAGATAACCTGTTCGACTCGCCCATGCGTTCGTACGGTCGCAGCAACGCGTCTCTGCGCGCCGATCACGGAGCCAGCGACGCGATCGTCACTTCAGAGAGCTCGCCTGCTACCACGGTCCCCGCCGCCAACTCGGCTATCAAGATCGGTCCCTCCTCTCTCTTCCGTCGCGTCGACTCACAGCCATCCCAACACAGCGACGATGACCATCACGACGATCCACATCCACAAAGCCCGACAGCTTCGCCTGCCGTCAACCGCACAAAGAAATTCAACCTCGGCATGGCGAGGGCCATCTTTGACTCGGACTCGGACAACGACGCTGACGACAGCAATCAAAGGTCCAACGCCACGCAAAGAGTGCGACCTGACAACAACGAGCACGGCGACGATGATGCCATCATCGCACGCATCCGTGCTCAAGCTGTACGGGAAGCAGAATCGGATCCGTTCACCGGCTCATTGTCATCGGTCCCTCCATCCAGCTCCCAGGCGCAATCGTCGTTGCATCGCTCATCGCTCGGTTCAGCTGACGAGCAGATGGCTGATGACGACCAAGATGGCAGCATCACCATCACCCGTCGTCGCGGCGCAAAGGTCTCCGCCATGAAGGCAAGAGGCGGCCAGGCTAAGCATTCCAAGTTTACCTCCTCGTCAGATAAGGAAGCCAGCGCTATCTCGGACGACGACGACGACCATGTCCGATCGCACAAGCCGCGCACATTCAAGCTGGTCAGCTCCGCCTCATCGACCTCAGCCACTCCAGCCGACCAGGACGATGTCCATGACGCGACCGACACGACCGCACCGTCCCGTCGCCAAGTCATGGACGCGCTCGCTGCCAGGGCGAGGAAAGCACACGGTGAGGCAGAGGCAGAGAACGACGCAAACACGCAGGCGGATCCCCTCCTCGACGCCTTTTTTGGTGGTACGAGCCCAGGCCGAATCCCGTCTCGTTCCCCGTCCCTCGACATCCAGGAGAGCGATAAGGATGAGCACAACGACGCAATGCCAGCATTCATGGCTGCACCTGGTACAAACGCCACGGCAAAATCCAAGCCGAAGAAGAAAAAACAGGCACCCAAGGAGCGAGACATTCTCAGCGATCTCGAGGACGACTCTGAACGTGCCCACGCAAAGGCAGCCTCCAAGCGTGCAGCTGCAACAAAGGAAAAGGCGCCTCCCAAAGTCAAACCTCTTAGCAAAAAGGAGATCGAGACCATGCACCGCCAGACCGCTCGCATCGCTCGTGAAAACAGAACACGGCTGGCGCCTACTCATCAGAAGAAGACCTTCGGTCTCAACGCCCTGCTCAGCAAGATCCGCACCACCGAAACCATCCGTGGTACCGGTGTAGCCGCTGTCACGAATGATGCCGCGGACAGTGCTTCCAGCGAAGCGGCTCAGTCTTCGTCGCAGATCCCTTCGGGCCAATCCAGGAGCCAGCACGCTTCCGATCCGATCGAGTCCGACCCCATTCCCGAGCGTTCCAGCCCTCGTCCAAACTATTCCAGTAGCCCTGTGGTCCCCATGTCTAGGCAGCAGGAGCGCAAACTCGGCCTCGACCAGAGCACCAGCAGCGCCAACTTTCTCCAGAATGGTGCTGCCGGTCGAGTCGCCGGTCTAGCCACCAAGCAAGATCAGCAACCTCTGCAGTCGCACCACCTTCTCGTGACGGACGACGAAGACGATCTGCAATTGCCAGACCTTGCATCCATCGTCAAGCAGAGCAGGGATCAACAAGACGCGGACAAGGAGGCAGCTCGCAAGAAGCAGCAACTGAGAGACATGAAGCTGCGCCTTCTCGAGAAGGCACGTCAGCAGCCATCGACTGCAGACTCGAAGCAGGCCGCCGCAGCATTAGACTCTCTTTCGAAGGCAGGCGCTGTCAAGATCGACGAAGAGGACGATCTCGAAGTGTATCAACCTGGATCCGTTCTGGCCGCAAAGCACAACTTGCCAGCGACCCCGGGCAAGAAGCGACCCACTGATCTGCTCTACCGCGAAATTGGCGTTCGTCCGGGAAAGACGCCTCCCTCTCGCAAGTCGTATGCTGGTACCAACGCCAACGGTTCGCCCAGCACCACGCTCCACAAAGTTGATGACGTCGAGAACGCCGACGATCAAGACGACCTCGTTGTGACTGACAGCCAATTGCGTAGCGCTGGCAAGAGCCTCTTCATCGCCACCGACAAAGCCGCAGGAGAGGTCCCCACCACGCAAGCGCACGCAGCCTCGACGCAAGCCCCTCGAGACGAGACGACCGCGCATGCTTCGTCCACCCAAGCAGGTGGTCGTGCCGGCCCTCCAAAGATGACGCAAGCGCAACTCAATGCGACGCTGATGCGCAAGATGCAGTCGCAGAGCCTCAAAGCGCGTTCTCAGAACGGAGGCAAGAGCGCAAATGGAAAGAAGGCAATCGCACCCGATGCAAACAGGCATACTCGTTCAGCGGCTCCTGATGTCGAAGCCATGCTACAACGATTGGGTGATGCAGCAAATGGAGAGGAGCAAGCATCCGGCCTCAACGAGGGTGGCGAAGCGGACGACGACGAGGACGATCCCGATTACATCATGCCACCAGCACGTCACGCTGAGTCGGTCATCGGCAGTCAGATCGGCAGCGACGTCGACATGGGCAGTGCGAGCGAAATCGAGCCTGCTGATGACGAGCAAGACTTCATCGACATGGGCAGCGCCGACGAGGATGACGAGAACCAGATCGTCGATGATGCCGGGATTCGTGACGCGATCGAAGATGCCGACGATGATAGCGAAAAGGAGAACGCTCCTCCGCCCGCCAGCCAACAATCGCAGCGTTCGAATGCGTCGCCCAGCCTTAGCCGCAGCCTGCTGCCTAGTCGTGCTGTCATGGATGACGATGAGGACGAGATGCCTGCAGCACGACCGAATGCGAGGAGAGCGAGACGCAGCGCCTTGGCGGACGATGACGACGGTGATGACGAGGCAGACGAGAATTCCCTCCGACCTGGTCCCTTCGACAGCAGCCGCAGCGTCATTCAAACAGGCAGCACGGGACAGAGTCAAGGCCTCACGAGGGTTCCGCTTGGTGACATCTCAAGCCAATCGATCGATCAAAGCATGCCCTTCTCTCGTTCCAACACTTCCTCACCGGCCGTCCAGCATGCTCAACCTCCAGGCGTGGCTGCTGCTGTTCGTCGTGATCCTCTCGTAATCCTGCCCAGCACAGGACAGGTTGAAGACGAATCCTTCCGTACAGACGATATCCCCTCGCAGGCCGGCGACCTTGGACGTTTCTTCGAATCTACCATGCCGCCTCCCGCCACCAGGTCAGCCTTTGCTGCCACGCAAGCTCCCAAGGACTTCTGGGATCAGACACAGACCCAAACGCAGCAGACGCAGAGCCAGAGTCAGCTGCCGTCTTCGATCCGTCCGCCTCAAGCAACCAACGAGCGACGAGAGCTCGTTCGCGACGAATCGGCGAACTCAGCGCTCGGTGCCTTCTTCCAGGATACGCAACAGGACGAACTGCGTGGCGAGAGCCTCGACATTTTCGACAACCCCAAGAACGCAGACGGCAAGGCGCACGGTTTCACGCAGTTCTTCTTCGATGGTACGCCTTCTGCCACTGGCGACGGTCAGGGAGCTACGGACGCTTCGAAGGCTGGTCCTAGCGTGTGGGATGCTTCGGCGATGCCGCCGCCAAAGTCGACGGAGGTGGATGCGTTTGCGGCGCTGCGCAAGGCTCAGATGGGCGAGGCGATGGATCTGCTGGATCCGACACCCTCGGTGTTGCCGAGCTTCGACGAGAGTCAAGCGGAGCGAGAGGCGTACGCCCAAGCGCAGTCGAACGGTCAGATGGCCAACAAATCGCCGGAGAAGATGTACATGAACCGCGACGGATTCTTTACACAGACCAAGCCGAGCCAGCAGGTGGGTCTGTGGTCGCAGTACGACACCCAAGGCCTGTCGCAGAGCCAGCAGCAGGGCGCCGGCGGTGCTTCGGGGATGTGGCTGAGTCCGGCTGCGCCGCGAGGATCTGCGCGGAGGGATAGCGAGATCAGCGACGGTGGCGCCGGTCCGATCGCCTCCGTGTTCGATGAAGACAGGGACGAGGATGCGCCCGTTCAGTTGAAGCGGCTGCGTCGCGGTGGGGCACACAATGCGGTCGCACAGGACGCTGATCAGCAGGAGGACGACGTTGAAAGCGAGATCGATGACGAAAATGGTCCGCCGTCGAGTCAACCCGAGCCGAAGACACGGAATGCATTCGACGTCTTGCGACAAGGTCCTCTACAGGTAGCATTCGATGACGAGCCCATCACTAAAGGCAAGAAGCGCAAATCTGCATTCATCGAAGGCGAAGCCGAAGAGTCCGAAGACGAAGAGCTCGGCGGGCAAAAGCGCCAAGATGGAGGTGGACTCAAAGGCGTCTTCGGCGACGACAAAGACAGCGTCTCCGGTGCCGACGAAGATGAAGACGACGAAGACGACGCCGATGCCGCAGATCTACAAGAACTCGTCGATAACGAGCGCGAGCTCGACGAAGCCGAAAAGGACGAAGCAGCCCGCGCCCGTTTCCGCGAGGACATGGAAGCGCGAGACCGCGAAGACCTCGAACTCCACCAGAAAGCCGTCCTGGGTGCGTACCGCAACCGTCGTCGCGGCGCAGGCCTCAACGGCATCGAAGGCTTCCTGGACGAGGACGCAGACGACGAGGAGCTCAAGAGGCGAGCGGCACTCGGATCGCACATGTCGGCTTGGAAGAAGCGCAAGCTGCTCGACGGCACCGAGGACGGCATGGACGCACTCGCTGCGCACGAGGAGGCGCAGGCGTTTGTCAAGAGCTATGCTGCGACGCACGTGGTCGACCACGAGTCGGAGAAGTACGATTTCTTGACGATGGCTGCTGCTGATCGGGACAGTGATGAGGACGAGGACATGGATGGGGAGGAGGAGCGGGATGCGGATGAAGAGGAGGAGGAGGGAGACGGGCTGCAGGAGGATGCGTTTGGTCCTGTGGTCACGAAGCAGCCGCGTAAGATCGGGTATCAGGACGTGGCGAGCATCGTGAGGGAACGCAGGAAGGCGAAGCATCGAAGCGCGTTGGATGACGATGAGGACCAGGAAGAAGAAGAGCAATATCGCCGGAATGGCGATGGATGGGACTCGGACGAAGACGATACTGAAGCTCGATTGGCTAACGCTCTGCACGATCGGATCAAGGGTGTTGGTGCGACTCGGAATGGAGCGATGCAGCCGAGCCTTGTTGCACAGCCCAACCGCCGACCGCAGCTCGGTGTGCAGTACGGCCGTCAGAGCTCTCGCGCCGTCGATACAGCGCTTGACAGCGTCGAGTCGATGGACGTCGACACGCAAGACAACATCCACGAAGCAGCAGCGGACGACATGGACGACGACGACGGTGCAGGCTCCGGCTCGCTCATGGCGCGTCTCCTCAGTCGCCGTCCCGCTCCCCGACCCTCCACCCTACGATCCAGCTCGTCCCTCGCCACCCCGACAGACACCCTCGAAGACGCCGAACCTGAATGGGGCAACGACGCCAACATCGTCCGTGCTCCCAAGCCCACGGCTGGCGGCGGTGGTGCAGGGTCGCAGTCCTCCGCGTCCGCGTCGAAGCTTGCATTCGGAGCAGCAGGAGGGAAGGCGGACAGGTTCAAGACGGGTAAGGAGCGTGGGGTGGGCAAGACGGGGTCGATGCTGCTGTCGAAACAGGGGATCATGAGGAGGGAGAGTGGATTTTCGAGTTCGAGTTCGAGCTCGAGTTTGAGGTGAAAAAATGATTTTTTTGGGAAATGTCTAGAGTTTCTTATTGCATGATGGTGTGTATGTTTGTGTGATGATGATGAGCGGGAATGCTGTGAATGGTGAATGGGCATCAATTGACCCAGACGGTGCGAAAGATACCGAACTGATCCTTCCTCGAGCTGACTCTTTCCATTTGCTGAGGTTCCATCTCGGTGAGAGACGCACCTTGTTCTGCCAACCACTGAAGTGCTAGCGATTGCACCTGATCAATCACGCCATCCGCACCACCTGCACTCGTACAGCTGTCCAACTCGGCCTGCGTCAAGCGCGACAACACCCAACGATCCACACGCATCTCCTTCGGCTGAAGCGAAGCTGGCAACCAGCTATCCTTCTTTTTCGGTGCTGGGATAGTTTCCGGTCGACCGATTCCAATTCGTAGTCGAGAGAGTTTCGGTCCAACCGCTGTTGAGTCTACGGATTTGTTGCGATGTTTTGATGGTGAAGCAGCAAGGGGAGGAGGAGGAGAAGAAGGAGGGATTTCGAGACGATCGAGGATGTCGCGGATACCGTTGTGACCTCTTGCGCTACCAAAGTCTTTTCTCTTGACATGACCGAATGGTAGATCGAGTTCGTCTTGTAGAACTAGTATGTTGTCGGAGATTGGATGTGCTCCTTGATTGCTGTGATCAGAAGTGGCGTGATTGGAACGCTGGAAGGAGGAGAGGAACGCTTTCAGCCCAACACCAGAGAGGTTCATCGGTTGCGAAGGCTTGTACAGCGACACGTCGATCGAGTAGACGGTCTGCGTGGATGGGTCGCGAGAGGTGAAGAAGGTCGGAGAAGACGGGATGAGGAGAGTGAGGGTGGTCGACCATCCTCCCGACCTGTGTTTGGTGAGACGCGATGGTGTGTCGGGTTGAGATCCGTCGAGGTCGACATCCGCGACTCTGCTTGCTCCAGATGACGCGACGGAAAGAGTCGATAGTACGGATTCACACCAATCCGGTCTATCCATCCCGACGAAGCGACCGCTTTCCAATGCGTCCAACCTCGTTGCTTCTAGCTGTTTCCTCACCTCCTTCAGCCTAGCTCTGACCTTTCGATCCTGCTCGATCAACCCGTTGAGCAGTGGATCCAGCACCACCTGTCCGATCGAATGGCGTGTCAACGGATGCGTCGTTGCGTTTCCCACGCCCACCACCACCATCTGACCCTCGACCCGCACCAGTCTCGGAAGACGATGCTTCGGCGCTTCGAGCTCGGCGTGTAGCCTCTCCACCTGTTTTTGCTGACCTTCACCGTATTCTGCCACAAGTCTCGGTATCGGCGGCCTCGAAGTGGAAAACATCGGTCGGTAGAGCAACTCAGCGAGCCTCTGATGGAAGGACAACCCGTGTCGATTAAGATACGCTTGCCTCGCATCCAGCTCCTCTCCAGCACCAGACGCTCGTTCTCCTATCAGTGCTGACGGATCCTCGTGCAGCTTGACTTCCTTGTCCAACGCCTCCCACTCTCTTCTTGGGATGTACGGCGGATTGCTGACGATCAGATCGAACGGACCACCTGCGATCTTGGCGAGTTTGTCCATATCCCGGTCGTCGAAAATATCGGCTTCGACGATGGAGATGTTTGAATCGTCGTTGTTGACTGTGAAGCCGAGCTTTCTCGCGTTCTCAATCGCCAGCTCTACGGCGAGCGGCGACCGATCGCACGCTACAACTTTCCACTTCCCTTCCGGAAGGAGCGATCGAAGTGCGTCCGCGATGAGAATCGCGATGCACCCTGACCCAGTGCAAAGATCCACGATGCGAACGTTCTCCAACTGAGTTGTATTTAGCTTCCTCAAAGCACCGACGACTTCCGTAGCCCAATCTTCCGTCTCTGGCCGTGGCAAAAGTACCGGCGGCCTCACCAGCAGCTCTTGCTTCAAGCCCCCGAACGGCACACTTCCCAGCAAGTACGACAGCGGCACGTTCTCGCGCGTCATTTGCATCACCATCGATATCAGCCGTCGACGAGACTCGCGGTTCAGCACCTGCTTGCCGTCGTCGCTCTGGGACTGACGAGATCGAACGTGCTGTACGGCCCAACGGATCTCGGCTTTGGCCAAGCTGATTGCTTCGAGCTGATCGGCTTTCTTGCGAGGAGGGGTGGAGGTGAGACGGTAGGACTGTTGTCGTCGACGAAGAGATTGGAGGAGCAGATCGTCCGAGGTGAAGAATGTCTGGGATTGTGATGAGGTCGCGGAGGATGAGTGCGATGTTGAGAAGCTGTGTCGATGAAGAGGTTGACTCGTGCGACCCTTGTGTAAGGAAGTGAGACCTGGTCGTAGAGCTGTGGCAGGCAAGCCTCTTTTAGCTGGAAGCGACATGTTGAGACCTCCTCACGGCATCTTTGCCGGCCACAGTTGCCTTGTAAAGACACGCTAGTAGATCGTCAGGATGGTGGTCATAGCTAGGGACACACCAAAAGATCTTCGAGGACCCTGAAAGACGTCTCGGATCAAGGGAAAAAAAGGAAAATCAGCGCCAAAAAAGTGGAGCGGTAAATCTGACATGAAAATGCAAGGCCACGCGAGCTGTCCAGAGCGGGGGAGCGGGGGAGCGGGAAACAAAATAAACAGCTGCCGGCTGACAGGTCTCCGAAAGGGGTCGTCTGCATCGCAATTTCGCCCGCGTGGAACGCGCCGTAAATGACACGAGAAGTGGTCTGTGCAGTTCTTCCGGCATCGGAGAGCATAGCGTCGTCACTATTGGTCGACACGGCTCGAAAATCAAGCCAGGTCCGGCTATACACTCGAAGCCGGCGAGACGTGTGGCTTGCTATCGTCGTACACTCACTGAGGTAAAGAGCTCCCTTCGCTCCGAGGAAAACGTGACCGTTGATGTGGGGGCCGAATAGAAGGCCGGAAATGTGGCCTGCTGACTGAGCTCGTCTGAAACGTATATAGTCCACCTGCCTGTCCTTCCATCATCGTCTGTCCCCGCACTTCCCTTCCTCCTCACATCCCAACACTTTCACGATCCAAAATGGCTCCCACCGCTGCCAACCCCAAAGACTGCCCCGAGTATGATCCCAAGAACATGATCTTCCGACGTCTCGGGCCGTCGGGTCTGCGCGTGTCGCTCTTCTCGCTCGGCGGCTGGCTCACCTACGGCGGCACCGTAAACGCCGACGAGACCAAGCAGATCGTCAAGCTCGCCTTCGAACACGGCATCAACACGTTCGACACCGCCGAGGTGTACTCTGCCGGACAGTGCGAGGTCGACATGGGCAAAGCCGTTCGAGAGCTCAACCTGCGACGCTCCGATCTCGTCCTCATCACCAAGGTGTTCTTCGGTACCGGTGGAAAGGACCCCAACGCACGCGGGCTGAGCAGGAAGCACATCATCGAAGCGGCTAATGCTTCGTTGGAGCGTTCGGGTCTGTCGTACTGGGATGTCATCATGGCTCACCGCCCCGATCCGACGGTTCCGATGGAGGAGATCGTTCGCGGTTTCAACCGCCTGATCGAAAGCGACAAGTGCTTCTACTGGGGCACCTCCGAGTGGTCCGCCCAGCAGATCGAGGAGGCTCATTCCGTCGCCAACAGGCTCAACTTGATCCCTCCCATCGCCGATCAGTGCCAGTACAACATGTTCCACCGTGAACGTCCCGAGAAGGAGTATGATCCGCTCTTCAAGCAGCATTCCTATGGTATGACGATTTGGAGTCCGCTGGCATCGGGTACGTTGACGGGCAAATATAATGACGGCATCCCTAGCGGCTCACGTTTTGACACGAATAAGGGTGTCTTCGACAACACCATCAAAGAGCTCCAGTCTCCCGAGGGTAAAGCCAAGATCGAGAAGGTCAAGAAGCTTACCGAGATCGCCGAGAAGTTGGGCGCCAAGGTGGCCAATCTGGCTCTCGCTTGGTGTGCCAAGAACCCCGTAAGTGCAACCAGCGGATCGATGTTCGAGGAGGAGAAGAAGAAGAAGAAGTTTTGCATCGCTAACATCATATTTCCTACAACTGTTGTTTTTGCAGAGCGTGTCGACGGTCATTCTGGGAGCCTCCAAGCCGGAACAGATCATCGAGAACCTGAAATCGTTGGACTTGATCGAGAGGCTCACGCCCGAAATCATGTCGCAGATCGACGAGGTGTTGGGCAACAAGCCTACGCTGCCTCCTCTGTACGGAAGGTGAATATCCCGTCATCCGCGCTCGCACTCGCTGCTGTAGGAAGCAATTCCAAAACCAAAGTTTTGCTTTTTTCAACAACGAGAGAGCTGTGCTGCTGTGTTGTGTTGAGCAAGAGAGTAGAGATAAAGGCGATTGACATTATGCTTTGCCTTCGCTCTTGCTTCTCTGGCCGCGCAGAGGTCGATCGTCGTTTGCGCCAAATCGAGCTTCGGCAAGGAGCAAGTTGTGAAGCTCACACGGCAAAGAGATGCATGCAGGATTGAGACGGTTCGACACAAGAAGCACAAAAACGCCAGAACAAGATTTCATCCACGTTTGAGCCTGATCATTTATCACCACAACTCCGGAAAGACGCGGAGAAGCCGCTTCCGTGGGCTGGCATCGCTGCACCATCTCCCTTCCCTCAACGGGGGAGAGGGTGAGATCCCTTTTGAGCATGGCGATGCTTGATGTATTCGGCTCCTTCGTCTGGCCGAGGCTCAGTAGCGGCATGGTCCTCCCGAGCTTCTCCGTGGGGGGTCCTTGAATGGCGTTCAAGTCTCAGGGTCTCACACCTTGGCACGAGAACGTGGAGGAGTGGTGTGTGTGTTGCGATTGCTCAGACTCGGAGAAAGGCAACGACTACAGGTGTGGTGTTCCCTAGGCATGTGATAGCAAGCTTAGGTGCTATCTCGTAGTACCGCTGAATCGCATCGTAGTCAAGTCTTTAGGGATTTCTACTGCTCCTTGCTCGCTTCTGTTCCTCAATTGCCGGCGGCAGTACAGGAGTTGCAAGTCTCAGTTGAGCTGGCACTTGTCGAGCGAGGTTCCTGATGACAGCCGCGCGCTCTTCATGCAGACAACAATCTGCACCTTGAACTTCATTTCATCGCCGAGTGTTCGCCAGCCAGTCTGTCTCTCGGACCGATTTCCAATTTTAGCTAAATTTCGCAAATTTCAACAGCGATGCGCAGCTGACCCACACAGATGGGCAGGCGCTTATCTGGCCGAGGCGGGTGAGCTGCCAGGTGACGATGCAAGGACGCCGGGATTGGTTCCTGTTTTGGAAATGCTGCGCTCCCGTGGGGGCTTCCCGAGACAGACAGAAAGAGTGCATATTGGCGGGCTGGAATTGGGTGCCTTCTATCGGCAAGCCCCGCTTTCTCAATTTCCCACTTCCCACCTGCAGTGCGTGAGCAGGAGTGTGCGCTGCGCCGCTCTGTTTAGACGCCCCATTTGGCGTCACGGCTAATTTAGCGTCGATCCTATCTCTGTTGTAGTGTGGTAGATTTGGCCGAGAGCTGACATCGTTTCTAGTTAACCCCCCCCTTTCATCATCCCCTACTGTTCTTCCTTATCCACCGTCTCTGTCGTCGACACTGCCATCTCGTTCTGCACCCTTGTCCATGCCATTCCCAAACACTCTGCACTGATCGCGATCCGTTACGTCGATACACAGACACACCCTGCAAGACATGTCGCACCCGGAGGTCAGCAGGCAGGCGATGCAGCCGAATTCGTTGGTGCTGGTGGCTCCCATGCCTCGCAGACCCATCGCTCTCGTAGCTCGCAGACACCATCATCACTCGTCCTCTAGTTCCCGTTCGCGCTCTTCCAGAACCATCTCGAGCTCAAGCAGCAAGGTTTCGAGCGGACAGCCAGCCGAGGAGGGCAAGGAATCGATCGAGCGCATCACCTCTCCCCAGAGGACCGTAGGTCATCCTTACACTCGCACAAAGACGCCTAGCAATGTCAGCTCGCTATCCAATCCTGCGTCGCCCACAAATGCAAGCGGCTGGCCGATGGGGCTGGGGATCACACCGGTTTCGCCGCCTCCTCGATCTAGGACCGGCTCTCGCGACGATCTGGGCTCGAGGCCGCTTTCCCGTCTTTCGCAGCGAGCATCGTCCATGTCGATCAGCTGCGGTCTGCCTGCCGTCCTTGACAGCACAGCCGTCAGCTCGGTTCTCGAAGCAAAGCCCTCGGCAGACAAGTCGACCCTGGCTGATGAGCCCATGTTGACATCTCCCATCACCTCGCCTATCATGGGCGCTACCTCTGTGTCCAGGGACGTCGAACGCACTCCCACCAAAACCAACGGCGGAGTGCGACACAGCATCCACCGTACCGCCTCCAACCTCTCTGCGCGCTCACTCGGTCAGGATGACGATCAAGAACCGCGCTCCACTCCCACCATCGGTGCCGCCTCTCCGCGACCTCAAGACACCACGCAGTGTCTCACACTCTCGCCCACCTCGCCTTCTCAACAGCGAAGCACCGCCTGCTCGGCCGCGGTCTCGGCTCAACTCGCTTCCACTCTCGCCTCTCCCCCTGAGCCCGTCATGGACGACGAGTTGAAACTCAGCCCACGTCAAGCTTCATCGTCGGCATCGGTCACGCCTTCACCTTGTCTCTCGGAATCGCAGTCTCGCAGTCCCACCGCCAGCCCCTCACCCTGTCCTTCGCCTGCATTCTCCCGTCCCGACCACCTCGAATTGCCCGAGACCAGCAGGAACAGTTCGCATCCACTTCCACCTCTGCCCTCGTCACCCATCCCGCGCAACATGACGAGGAACCCCTTCGAGAGGTACCTCAGCATCCAGAGTGGCACGCATGGATGCACGTTGCAGCAGAGGTTGGGGATGGCCATCAAACAGCAGCAGGGGACCGTGTTGGGTCGCATGGAGTCCGAGTTGGTGGACCAAGAGGGTGGTATGGACATCGAGTGAAGGGGGGG